AAGCTAATTATCAAAAGCACCATGACACATTTGAGATTTACTATTGGATTCCATACACAACTCTATCAGAAAGTGAGTAATGCTGTGGTTAAGCATAGGTTTCAAGGTACAAATAATCTGATAATCTTCGTCTTCTCATTGCATTATCGAAATTTATCAAAGGGACGAATTGTTTTAAATTTTACGAATAGTAAGTTGATTGATGGAGTTATGCAGTCAATCAACTTAAATGGTTTGGATATATGCTACGCATCCTTCAAACACTGTCTAACTTAACGCATAGTGCTGGTTAGTGGAAGAGTAAGTTAGGAAAAAGCTACGATTAACGAGATAAAGATAAATATTGGTCCATAAAGTTATCAATTGCCGGATTGATCTGTAGAATGAGACCATAACTTATGAACGACCTTTGAGTGATGCTAAAGTGACCTGGAGAAAAGTCACTTATCTACTAGGGTCAAACGAAAATTATAAGTTAGTGCGAGCAACTAGGATTAGGATTAACAGTTAAAAGTCAGGATTAGGAATTAGAGTTAAGGTTTTCATTGAGAACTGACATCAGCTATAATGCCCAGATTCTATTTAACCATATGGATGGATGTATTTCGCCTCAAAATCAAATACTTGCTAACTTTGATTTCATCGGTTCGCCAAAATTCATATCCTCTTCATCCATAACCAGCAGGTACAACCTTCTAGGTTATATACGGGATAATCATAACATCTGGTTGAAGACATTTCATGAAATGGCGCAAGATTTGAGATTATTTTGCATTTGTCGATTACACAGTGAAATTTTCTAATAAACGAACCACTTTCATCTACAATCACACTTGAGTGGGAGAATTTTATTGAGATTCATGAACACCATATCAACAATTATCATGTGTTCACTAATGACGAGCTTAAAAAGAAAATTTCCGGAGTTTTAATGGGTAGCTGTAAGCAGCGAAGTTCAACCATGTCGAGTGTAAGAAAGATACACACCGAAAACAACAGAAGACAGTCAATCAATACTTTCGACTGATTGAAATTATACTTGGAAACTATTAGATTTTGCCTTAATGTTTTAAAGATCAAGCGTTCGTATGAAATCGACTCCTTAGGATGGAGTCGTAAACGCAAACTAGTTGAAGAATCCTATAATAGGACGAAACATATGACTAGAGCTTCTAGGTTTCTAATAGTTGACTAATATCGGTTTGTAATATCAATAATATATAATGTTTATTACACATACATTCAGGTGACATCCAAGCTGGATTGTATTCTCGAGCTTTTTCATGAAATGAAAATTTGTAATCTGCCATATCTAAACGAGCAATTAACGATTCATCAGGTATAATTGACTGTTGTATATTCTGTCCATGTGTAACAGTATCAACTGTATCCCAAACACCAATTTTAGCAATATCTTCGTCTACCTAAATTACAATAAAAAAATATATATTTACAAGTAATTTTTGTAAAGTTAAACTTTTTAAAAATTCAATGGTAAATATCATATTTGCATAGATTAGATTGAGTCTATCTGCTGTATACCACTGTAAGATGAAAAATCAGCTAATATACATGATGAATTTTCAGTATTGTACACAAAAGAAATATCCAGTCAATATAATGAAAAGTACATACAGTTTAGTTTATAAATTACCATTAGGATATGCTATATCTTAGATTCACATCGATAAGTATACGCACTTGCAATTAATAATCATTGATAAAACAAAACAAAACAAGTTTAATTGGTCATTAACTAACTTGATATTGAAATGTTTACTGATCATCATTGTCTAAGCTCAGGGAATAAGTTATACTAGATAATAAGAATATTTTGAATAATATATACACAATAATGTGTTCTAATAGTTAGTCACTGAAACCAAACACTGTTAACCGAAGTGAAGTTATACAACATTTATCAACATGACACAATTACAAAGATTGTTTATATAGCACAAAGATAATAGGTCAGTTCGATTTGCCATATATCAAAACAACACAGAAAAGAAAATTATTAGTAATGTTAAAATGAAAAATAAATGTTTAAGGATATATGAAAAAGTAGATTCGAAATAAAGAAAAAAATTGAAGACTTTATGAGCTACTAGGTTCAACCATCAGGCTCTACAATTATTGATTTTTAACACAATGAAATTAAACAAGCAGATTTATAGCTTTTTCCGCATAACTCAGATTAATAGCAAATGCCTTTCTAGACTGTTCGATAACACTTAGTCTTTTCTAGTTTCCTACTTACAACAGTCAACCTTTTACTTCGAAGTCGATAATACTACAAATATATGGATTAAATATTCCGAAAGTAATAGTTAGGAGATTCGGAATTTCATTGTTCGAGTCTGTTTAGTTATTTTATCAAAGTTGCAAATTAGCAGACATGAATATCTACCAATATAAAATATTTCTTGCCAAAAACTACCTAAATACATCGACTAATCACAAAAAAGTGTATGGTACGAGGAAACAATCTTTTTAATCTATTCCACAAATGGATTATGAAATTAACATAATAAATAGTAAAGAAGTTGTAATAATGGGAGTGTAGAGGCTAATTTCCCTTATATCTGACTCAAAAAAATTGTGTCCCGTTAACTGAGTATTTAATGCAGGCTAAATCTCCTAGTAGAATTACGGATTTACTCGAGATTATTCAAAAACATAAACACCAGTTATAGAGACAGTTTATTGTTAAAGATTGGTAAAATCCGTAAGCGTACACGAAGCAAGCACACAGGGAAACCAAGAGTGTGGGTTAAAAATCAATATACATTTATGTGGTATGGATAAATTATTGATTGTCTGTATATTACAACCAATGAGGGAATAGATTAAAAACTGACATGTGCTCAATCAGACTCACACAGAAAATTACATGACGGATTAGGTGTCTAAATTACAATGAGCAGATAAATAATACAGTAGTTGAATGGAATTACTACAGGAGTATCAATGATGGTGAAAAAGATCAAAAATAAAGAATATGGTTCAAGAAGACAGAATGGAAAGGTATGTATGAAATATAGTGGAAATTAAGATCTAGAAGATTAATTCCATCCGGGTAACCGTGACTGATTCAGAACCACATCACCAAACGTCTCTGCTACTGATCATAGTTATCAAGAAGACCCTAAAGAGGTAGTCTAAGTTTACCGCCATGATTTCGACCAAACGTCTATGACTTCATGAACTGAGCCCACGTTAAGGTTTAACTATATATATATATATATATATATATATATATATATATATATAATACTGCAGTTTATTCATTTATTTTAACAAATACAAACCTAATTCATTCGTCAAGTCATAATCTATAACATAGATAGTTACTGGTTGTTCACATCGTAGAAAGATAATACTTTTCTGTGGAGCATAATAAAGAAATAATACTTTAAAAAACTGTAACACTATAGTTACATACATATTCTAATAATAAAGCTGAGTTACACATATTGTGTAGTATGTGGAGCGATGGAACAGTAATTAAGACATTCGACTTCTAACCATGAATTCCCCAGATACAAACCACGCAATCCACCTTCTTTGGTTTACAAGACAAGGTATTATTACTTGTCTTTATACCTGGAAGCAAAGTATATGAGCCATTACCTAATAAATTAGTTATTTAAGAAAAACTGTGTAATAAACTAAGAGTTATCAAAGAAATAAATTGATAGTTGAAAGACTGTAAAAAAATGACCAAGGCAAAAAAACCCATAATAAGTGAAAATAAATCTCTTTTTGTTTAAGAAAAAGTATGAACAACATAATAGAACGAAAGATGAAATCACTTTATAATAAATATAATTTTATTATAAATAAGAACTTCCGTCTAAATTTGAACGAATAGTTTCACAATATTTAGGCGCCGAGTTAATGTGAATCATTAAAGAGGAAGAATGTATTTGTAAAATTTCAGCGAAAGAATTTGAATATTATATTCGATAATTTTGTTGTTTGATTATATTTTCCTTGAAAAAGCTTGGACCAGATTGCCAGGCGAAACGTTGGATTTACTTCAAATTCTTTCGCTGAGATTTTGCAAATACATTCTTTCTCTTTAATGATAATTTTATTATATCTTAATGAGTAGGAAAAATTATATTTCTAACGTTTTGTGACTTAATCTAAGCCACATATCTTCAGAGTATATAAATAACCGAAATTCAATTAACACAAGTACAAAGGATATAATAAAAATATATTTATTATTAACTCTCTTATATCAATGCTTTAGTTTAATCTTGGTATTAATACCTGTGTGAATCACTTTATTATGATGTACTTCAACTTTGTCAAACATACACTAACATTTTGAAATAGATCATTTTACAAACTTGATTTTATGTACAGGAAACCAAACATGATTTCATTTTTAACACTTATTTATTGTGTTTAACATATAGATATTGGTACAAGGAAACATCCATTAGATATGCGCCATACAAATCTCATTTGATATGTGTGAGAGCTTTGATACTGCCCGGGTGCCTAAACCGAAGCAGGTGGTTTTCCTAGGGGGCCACACCCGGAGCCTTCGACCTAAAGGTCTGATCCACAAAGCAGTGGAGCAACATCAGGAGATAATAATTGGCTCATACCCCATTTGTTCCTTTAGGATACCGGAACCCATGTGAACCATTGGTTTGAAATCAGGGTTTTCCAACTCCCCTAGGTGGACTCTCCATGTCCACCAACCCAGTTAAAGCGCCGGACATTCGCTTTTCGTCCTCTCAATTTTGTAAGCAATACCCCCGCCACGAGAAGACAGTGAGTAGGACTTCCCTGGTAGAGGCTATTTCTAACAAAAATAAACTCATATGCATGAAATTCTTTTTTTTTTAATTAAGACAGTTTTCAACATTCTAAGAATAATCTTTTTTTCTAAGGCGTGAACATGTTAAATTTATGTGTAATTTTACGTTAGAAACAAAGTAGCTATTACTAAAGATTCTTAATTAATACACAAGTAGAGATTAAAACAATTAGAGGTTAATAATGAGTACAACAATATACGTCTTATATAAAGATAAACAGATTAATATGTGTATACGGAAATTAGCATTGATTTATTCTTACAATTAATGAATAATACTGTTCTATTCACATTATCATATATTTTCTAAGAGAAGTGTGTGAATAAAAAGATAATAATAGATTATGTTACCACTAGTGTGTACCTTACATTATGGCTGATAGATTATTAATTTTATGGATTTTCTTAAAGAAGAAGAAGAAGAAGAAAGGTAAGCAAATAATTTAGAACAGTAGTAGTATGATGTGTGCTACAGCTGTCGACAGATATAAGTAGTATGTATCAATAATTGAAAGTGGAATATCTGGCAGCAGAAAGTTGAGGAAATCGAAGAGAATTGGACGAGGACAGAGTGATTGGTGTGGAAATGAAGGAACAATCAAGTGTGAGACAATTCATTGACATTTTGCAAATGAAGTAATTAATGTATGGTTCTCAGATTTTAGTAAAAGATTCTGTAATTTTATAGTCAGATATATTTGGTTGTCCCCACTAGTGTTTTCGTTCACTAAAGTGGTAGTAGTCAATAGGGGTTGGTGATATAAAAAGAACTTACATGAACAATCTAAGTAGATTAGGGGGGAAAAACCGCCACTGACTATGACTTTTCATGAAGTAGATAGATTCATAGAAGTGTATAAACGAATAGAATGAAATGACTTCAATACTAGATTTCATTTTCCTAAACTGAATACTATAATTGTGACATGTTCATTAGCTTAGGTTTTGGATATCATCGACATAAACCTTAATTAGAAGTTATTGGAATTTTTCCATTAATAACTAACAGCGAAATGGAATGAGATCAGTTTTACAGAGTAATTGGGACATAACGAGTGCATAGATATATTTAGATCGTTTTTCTTACCTGACACGATTAGCGTGCTCTTAAAAATTCTATCATCTTTTTTTGTTGAGTCTGTTCAGGCTCATAGTTTTCACAGTCAACATTGTATACTTAATTGTCCATATGCACTGATATAAGCTTTCAAAATATAATACATAAAACAATTTACAGGAATTGTAATGTGCCATATCCAACAAAATGATTTCTGTCTTCGCTTAATTGTCTATCAATTGTGATGACATGTCTTCGTTTATATCAATACAATGTGGACAATTTTAGGCACAATTTTAACTGCGGACAAATGCATAAGGATAATGACTGAAAAATAGGATGAGAAAAAGCATTTCGGACAACATGATGTTAACCAGATAAGCTACAGTACTCAACTTCTCCAATTATCTATCAATTTGCATTTTATTACAAACAAATACCGAAGACTTGCCCTCAGTTTGAGACTGCTGACCCAATGAATTCATGGATTTTTGATTGAAACTGTAAAGGAACTTGACGTGAAACCAACGTTTACCAATCTAATTAGAAAACTGAAGAAAATTTCTAGTCTAGTTTTCACATAAAATGAACAGAAAAATGAACGACGTTTGAGGTTTCAAATTAACTGAATATTCGATGACTTCCTGATTTCATCATTGTGTGTAGATGAACCATAGTATCTGTACATTCTAATCGTGTTTGTTTAATATTACAAATTTTACATAAGCGTGATATATGATTGAATAAAATTTATATGGGATGATTTGCAGCTTAGGATGAGGTGTTGTGGTCTCTGAGCTGGATGAATTGGTTGTAAAGCTTTCATCGTTCTTTCGAACACAATCATCAGCGCGTACTTTGAAGAGAAGTGGGCTATTAGAATTTCCAAACAATTGACTAATAGTTCGTTTCGTTGACCTGAAATTTCGTTAGTTACATAATTCTCTGATCGATTATGCAGTTTTTTTGTATTTCGTAGGGGAATGCTTCAATAATTGAGTTGTTGTGTACGTTTATCACCTCTTTACGATCCGCATGTATTTGTACACGCTTCAGTATGCAAATACTGCATTATAACACAATCGCAATGTGTAGTAAATACAGTAACAATGTTAATTAGCATTAATCGATTTATCTAGGCTTTTTTTGTTGCTTAACGAAATTTGACAGTTACATTTATTGTTAAACACATAGTAAATTCGTGATGGTGATACACTAATGAAATAAGTCGTGTTAATAATAGATTTTAGAATATAAAATTACTACAATATAAGACTATTCTTGTGCCAAAATTATTTCTATTGTTTACAATACACCCCATTTTAAACAAACGATATCTTTCTACTATACATATATAAGTTTAGTGCTTACTGATAAGTTTGAAGAATAAAGGCATCAGTAGAAAAAGAATACTAGGTATATGGGGTAAGTAATAATAACTAACTCAAAAATATTTATTTATACATTCCTTCGTGTTATAATTGAACGTCTGCTGACCTTCTTATGAAGCCAGCAAAAACTTAAAGATATGATAAACTTCATCTTTTGTAGTAAAAAATAAGAATTATCAATGCAATCTGTCCTTGAATGTATGCTGATGATTGGAGATAGTTGGTAGGAAACTGGATTTCAGTTTCATATTAGTTAGCATTAATCAAGTAGAGAGTCCTTAAAATCGTGGGGGAAATGATGGTCTTCATGGAGTTTGAACCTGGCGCCACCAAGATTCATAGTCTGAGATGATACCGCCAAATTATCTTGGCAGCGACTGACACAATGATGAACTGAGTTAGTTACAATATACTAACCATTGTGTAGTGACTAATATCATGTCTGCCTAGTTCTTATAAGTACTGTTCAGATCCTATCAAGCACGTTGCAATACGGTCACTAATCCCATACACCATGTTGAGATGTTGGCTAGCTAGAGGTAATCAGAACGAAACCATGAGCCAAGGTTGCTTGAATTCCTTAGCAGAAACGGAATAATTCAGTTTATTGAGTGGTGTTGTGGAGAAATAGAAAAAGAGAGAAAACGATCTTCTATGTTGATATAAAAATAACAGGAATTATACGAGATGAAATCCATATAAGAAAATAACTAGAGTAGATATTCTGTCAAATATGCATCACATCATGGTCATAAACTATGCAATAAGATACTGATTTCGAATCTGAAACAGACTCAATGTCTCAAACTATTGGGTTGCATAACATTCATGAATCAACCAAGCGAATTGAGATGAAACAATAAATAAAAACTGGATATACGAGTTCTTTTTTACTTCAAGGAGTTATGAGATATAAGAATCATCTCTCTGACTGTGTTACAAAATAATGTTTGCTATGGAAGCTAGTTGGTATCCAAACAATCACATATGACCTTATTTATTTCCATATATATATATATATATATATATATATATATATATATATAATTTCATATTACAAATGCATACAGTTTCCATACACACATTCTGACGCACAAATTAATACAGTGACAGGTTATACAAATTCACCTTGACGAAGAACAACTTGATATTAAGACCTATTATGATTTTGATTCTGCATTTTTTTGTACCATTTAGACGTGTTAATTTAATTTGGTTATTTATTTATGCTGAAGTGGTTTACATCAACTTCATTGACTACGAAAAGGCATTTGATAGCGTGGACAGAACAACACTATGGAAACTTCTTCGACACTACGGCGTGCCTCAGAAGATAGTAAATATCATACAGAGTTCATATGATGGATTACACTGCAAAATCGTGCATGGAGGACAGTTGACAAAGTCGTTCGAAGTGAAGACCGGTGTTAGGCAAGGTTGCTTACTCTCACCCTTTCTCTTTCTCCTGGTGATCGACTGGATCATGAAGACGTCAACGTCTGAAGGGAAGCACGGGATACAATGGACATCTAGGATGCAGTTGGACGATCTAGACTTCGCAGATGATCTGGCCCTTCTATCCCAAACGCAACAACAAATGCAGGAGAAGACGAACAGTGTGGCAGCAACCTCAGCAGCACTAGGTCTCAATATACACAAAGGGAAAAGCAAGATTCTCCGAAACCACACAGCATGCACCAATCCAATCACAATTGACGGAGAAGATTTGGAAGGTGTAAAAACCTTTACGTATTTGGGCAGCATCATTGATGAACAGGGTGGAACTGATGCAGATGTGAAGACGCGGATCGGCAAAGCAAGAACAGCATATTTACAACTGAGGAACATCTGGAACTCAAAGCAACCGTCAACCAACACCAAGGTCAGGATTTTCAATACAAATGTCACAACAGTTCTACTCTATGGAACGGAAACCTGGACAACTACGAAAGCCATCATCCAGAAAATACAGGTGTTTATTAACAGTTGTCTACGCAAAATACTTCAGATCCGTCGGCCGGACACTATTAGCAACAACGTACTGTAGGAGAGAACAAACCAGATCCCACCGGAGGAAGAAATCAGGAAGAATTGCTGGAAGTGGATAGGACACACATTGAGGAAAGCACCCAACTGCGTCACAAGACAAGCCCTCACATGGAATTCTGAAGGCCAAACGAAAAGAGGAGGACCAAAGAACACATTACGCCGGGAAATGGAGATAGACATGAGAAAAATAAACAAGAATTGGATGGAACTAGAAAAGAAGGCCCAGGACAGAGTGGGTTGGAGAATGCTGGTCGGCGGCCTATGCTCCATTAGGAGTAACAGGCGTAAGTAAGGTTTACATTGTCACGAAACTCCAGAAATACAATTTATTATTAACTATCTACCTAATACTCAATTTGAATCTTGGCACTAATACCAACAACGAAATTATTTTTAGATATCTAGTAAATTAACTAATTTCGTCAAATTTATGATGAACAGAATGCACTGATGCTTTGTAGAAAAACAGTATTCATAACACGAAATATTACTAAATAATAATAAGTAATATAAGTATAAATTAGTAAACAGTAAATGATAGGTTATCTTAAACGAATTTCGATAAAAAAAAACAATGATAGCACCTACCATTACATGTTTGGAGTTCAAACGAAAATTGGGAACTTTTAATTCTGGTGAATGTAGAAACTCCATACCTTTGGCTATGTCAACAGCAAATCGTAAAGCTTGTCGATGACTTATCTCAGTTGTACCGTGTATATTGGCTTCAGCTGGTTGGTGCAAAACATCAAAAAGACTTCCATATTGCATAAAGTCACTGACAAGGCATAAACGTGGTGTGGCAGTAAAAATAGCCAGTACGGGGAGTATATTGGGATGATTAAAGATGCGAAGTTTCGGGAATTCATCCTTGAAATCACGTGCCTATGAATTTTGTAGATGGAAGGTGTACAAAATAAGATACTATACATAAAATTATATAACACACCTTATAACTCTTATCCATAACAGTGGATTCTTGTTTGTCATACCACAAACACGTTGAACCTATTGACATTGTAATATAAATAAGCAAAAGACTGACTCATTAACAGTCTGAACATAGGAAAGAAGAGACGTTCAATACTTAGCAATCCCTAGTAGGTTCTATATCTAAAACGAGATGTGGACTGCGAGTAATTTAGTTAAATTTTCATCCGAAGATAGGTTAAATTTACACTGAAGTAATAACTGGATAACAACATTGAAAAATGTCCTGAATCAGATAAAGTACGCTGAAAGTATAATTTCCATTTCATACCATCCTATTTCTATTCTATTTGAAAAAAAGGATTTTTATGCAAATCTTGAACTCTTCGAGCATTGTATAGTCAACTCTTATCAATTTTTAAACTTTGCTAGAAAAAGCAAGATACCTAGTTAGGATCAGCGAGATAACCGCAATCAGTGGGTGCAGATGTTGGATGACGTGGCTCGGAGTTGTTTACAATTGCAAAGATCCGTTTGCTCTTTTTCTACTTCTTGAGTTCTGGCATTTCTTTGGATATACCTTTCCATTGTAGTGGCTGGTCCTATGTCGAGCCCCTATAGCTTATTCTAACTTCTGGACAAACCAACTTATCCATTCCCCTCAAGTTACATTTTGACCTTTTTAATTATTCACTTGTCAACCTTGACTGTCTTCATGTAAGCGTAAGTGAGTGTTTCATAACTTACTCAGCAATTAACTCTTGATTAAATTGAGTTGGCTCACTCGCCTTGTCCACTGCGCGTCATTTCTCCTCGCTCTCTTCCTTTCGCTACTCCGATCGTTTGTCTGGATCAACGATTGTACAAAATATACCTATTCAAAATCCGTTCTCGCATTTTACTTATCTAATCCCGTTATTCACTAACGCGATTTAGGTCGAAAATAATTTGCGAGGATTGGAGATATGTATATTTCAATGGCAATCATCATACGATCCGAATGGAGTCAGATTCAGGGACACTAAACCATTCTATCCCTTTAAACCATATTCTTAATACTTAGTCTTTCTCGTCATAATTGATATACTACAATATCTCGATATCTTCAGCTATTCACTATTTCAATTTCATATCGTTGTGCTTATATGGTATGGGAACTTAAGCCAACACACATATGTACAGGGCTCTACGTTGATAATGACTGACTGAATTACGCTCAAAGAGCTGGGAGTCATTGTCTTGATTCTGATAAGTTCATTTGTCATACTATAAATTCAATACAAAATGAACTGACTTTAGCATTGAATAGCTCTATTTAGACTTAGATTGAGATTACTGAGATTCCCAAAAACGTCTAGCGTATCATTACGGCTTGTACAACCTCAAAATGGAAATGGAAATTTCAGGATGCATGAAATGAATGAAGTTGTGAAGCTGAATGTGGTTGAAACGAATATATATATATATATATATAATTTGGGAATGATTGAAGCAGAATTTATAAGGAAATGAAATCACTAAACTTTCTTTAAATCGTGGAAAGAAATGTAGGGATTTGTATGCCGTGAACCGGATGGTTTATTTATAAAACTTCCACTGCCTTTGTTTATAGGATACTTAGTTTCTGTTGCATAAGAATTCACTTTAATTTCAAGCGGACTGATGGTGATGATATCTAGTGTTCATCGAACGCAAAACCACTAAAGCTGTTTAACTGAGCTATAAAGCCATATCATTTCAAGTTAAGTTACTTTGAACAGAGATGAACAGATACAAGTTTAAAGTAGAAGGTAAAATATGAACAAAATTGGTTATGGATTTAACAGAACACAAAGAAGCGAAATATAAAAGATGACTGAAAGTATGAATCTCTGGGAAAAAATAATGGCCTAACCTGTCTTGTTGAACAATTTCGTAGTTTTAACATTTTTACAACTACAGGACACCGTCTAAATGAACCTTTCAGTACCTCAGCACCATGACCATCAGCTAAGGCACCTGTTAATTCAACTTCTCGAGGATCCCATGATTCACCTTCAAGACGATATAAAGTAGCATCTCGTGCTCGTGTTTTTGTACCAATCCAGCTTGTATCACGAAAAGGTCGACGATGAGATAAATCATGTCCTAAAGCTTGTGCTAATGGAGCAATTAATGCCGCAGCACGTGGACGAATTAGCTCTAATGGAGTTTCACCATATTTATTTTCTTGCATAAGACATGCTCCATTTTTAATCAAATACTGTAAAAAAAGGACCATAACGTGCAATATATGTTACAATGATAGGATATATACATACAATCTTTCAAGAAAGATGAATATTCATGGATAATATTTTCTACCATCCAAAGGTATGGAATCTAAAAAAATATAAGAGCCAGCATAACTTCCCATTATTAATGAAGATTTCCCAATTAAAATTGGTTACTTATCTCCTTGGCTAATTATTAAAATTCTTGATAGAGCCGTTGAATGAAATGAATTAGTATCGGAAATAATCAATAGTTAGTGAATACTGACAAGGATGAAGCTAAATGAACCAACCTTTCACGATCGATAATTGATTCGTACCGTAAACATTATAATAATTCATTCACGATAGTAGAGATTCGTGTTATACAGTGAGGTATCTCATTACATGAAGAACTAATGAGAAATTAAAGGATGAGAGTCAAAAGTTGAATGAACTATGGAATAGATTGTATGAGTTTTCATCAAATCAATTAGAATGCGAACAAAAATTACTTAATGAATGTATGGTTCTATTGTTTGGATGAATAAATATATTCATACGAAGTCACTGTAACCTTACATAACTATAGCGAAACGACAGATGGTCATGTTTGCATTCTTAAAAAATTCGTCCGTTTGTTTTGAGCTTCCTCATTGTTATTAAAGAACATGTATCGATTGGCTAATTGCACATTTTATTCTTTAATGTCATACAAACCCAAGAATAATTTATTTCTATTGGTTGTTTGAATCTTCGTATTGATGCTTAGGACTGCAACTGATCAGTATCTTTTTGGCACCATCCTTCTCTGTTAATAATGGTTGTGACTTAAGGTAATTTCGAGGCATTCCGCACAGAATGCACAAATACCAGTAAGAGACTGATCAGTTGCAGTCCTAAATAGTAATGGAAAGACCTAAACAACCAATAGAAATCAATTAAGCTTCACCTCGTTGCACAATTTTGTGGCTATTTGAACACAGTAGCCAAATGGATAACGCAGTGCCATTTAGACAGAACGATACTTGGTTAGAGTCCCGAAGTGAACCATCATCTCTAGAATATATCCAATTGACGAGTCCCAGATAAAACCAAACAGGCTTCTTGGATTCCACTGCTAACCATCATACATCTCTGCCTGTAAACCTAAGGACAATATACTAAATATAAACCTCGGTAGTTCAAAAACATTTCGACCTCACGGTTTAGTGCTTACAGCAATGAACCACAGTTTTTCTCGTGTAAGTACATCATAATATACGAAATTTTAAAACTAGACATTAATTAATAAACTGATAGAATCTGCAAAATTATAAAAAATATTTCTTCTTGAATGAATGCAGAATGTAATAATAATAATAATAGACTAATAACATGTTATATTCAATTCAGACTACTAACTAGTATATTATAAATTAGTTTCTTAAACCTTTTAACTAACCGACATGCATTATAATCGACTTTTTGAGAGTATGGGTATTTTTGTCGTGAACAATTATCATATTGATTTCCATGGTCACTATTTTGTTATTAGTATTTTTTCTATCATTATGTAGGCAATATTTCTACATTGCAAATTGATGTTTTTTCAACATTTTTAACCCTACTATTTTTTTCTTACTAAATCAAATTTGTTTGTTTTCCACTTCATAGTATTGTTGTCATCGTTGTTGTTGGTTTGTTTACTGTGACAGTGTCTTTTTTTTAATGATACGGTCAATTAAATTACTTTTATTGTTTGTTTATTACTTGGAATTAAAGAATCGTTTCATCATTCAGTTACATATTTACGATTTCATTTTACTACCAAGATTTATCTGACTCCTTGGTATTGTCAGCTGCTACTTAGGTGTTAGATTCACACTAAATATTATAAATACAATGGCAACACCAGTTAACTCTCAAAGCCGATAGGCGCATAAGTGACCAGTCCAGTAAAGCTAGATAGATAAAGTTTATCAACCGATAGGAGAAAGGCTAGTTTACAACTGGCCAGTGAAATTAAAGGGAAAAATTATGCGACTAAACCATTAACTACTTATGAGTAATACAATTATAACAATTGAATTTCACAGCATGTCCGTTGCATGATGGCATGAATCGATTTTGCAATCTGAATTTATATTTGCTGATTAAACGTGGAAAAGTTAAAACCAATTAATACCTTAGTAGGATCTACAGATGTCGTTTTCTAGGTGACCTAATTCTTTTGTATAACTCATTCTATAATCCGTGTGTCTTATTTTAAAACGCCCGAACTCCACTGGAGCACTACTAGAGTTGCTTCATGTCTCTAGCCTGAACAAAAGAGGATGGTTGGGCACGGGGTCAGCAATCCTATCCCGTAAAAAACGAATTTTTTAAGAACAAACTTAACCAAAATTAGTAATTTCAAACCCTTTGAACTTTGTCCTGGAAGTTAAATGATATTCATTTAGGATAGTCGTGATGCTTCATAGTGAACGTCGGTATTTTTCCAAAACCCTGAAGCCGATGACCTTTCTGTAAACTAGCGCAACAATCAATATATGTCACAGACAAGGCTGTCTGCTCTCGTCTTTCTTCTTCCTTCTGGTGGTTGACTGGATTATGAAAATCTTCGCATCTCAAGTGAAACATATAATACAGTGGATAGCTTGGATGCAACTTGATGATTTAAACTTCATAGATGACCACTGTAACACCAGTATTTGCAGCAGTAAACTACAACATACACAAGGGAAAAGCAAGATACTCAAATACAACACAGTCAATACAAATTCAATCACACTTGATGCAGAGGCACTGTAAGAGGTGAAGAATTCATGTATCTGGGCAGCATCATGGATAAATAAGGAGGATCTGATACAGATGAAAACGTAAGGGTCGGAAAAGCGAGGGCAACATATCAAACTCAAAACAACTGTCAGTCAACATCAACGTCGGAATATTCAATACAAATGTCAAGACAGTTCTCATGTACGGAGCCGAAACTTCGAGAACCACTACAACCATCATAAAAAATTACACGTATCTATAAACAATCGTCTACACAATCCGTTGGTCGGAAACCACCAGCAACAACCTACTGTGAGAGAGAACAAACCAGCTTCCAACTGAAGAGGAAATTAGGAAAAGACACTGGAATTGAATAGGACATATATTGAGGAAATCGTCAGACTGCATCACGAGTCATGTCCTAACTAGAAGTAGTGAATGGAAAAGGAAACGAAGGCCCAAGAACACATTGAGTCGGGGATTCGAGGCAGATATCAAAAGAATGGATAGTACTTAAAAATAAGTATGGAGGAGAGTCCAGGACATAACTGGTTAAAAAATCCTGATGGGTGGTCTATGCTCCTCCATCGGGGGTAACAGGTGTGCGTAATTAAGTTTCGATAAAACAGTTCCTCGTAAATTCAAACTTTCAGGTTATGGGTTAACTATAGCTGAATGACTAAAAATTGGATACAGCGTCACAATATATTTTTTGCTACTATCTAATTTCACTAATTTTAATCCAATTTTTAACCTTTTAATACTGTGGTATTTGTTTACTAAGTAGCAGTTCTCGTTTTCGAATTCAAGCCACAAAATTTTGTGGCTTAGAGATTAAAGTGACCAAACTGCAGTCCATTGAACGACACCTTAGGATTCTGTTCTTATTTTGAGCAACTGGCCAGTCACACGCCATGTACAACGTTAGGCATCGAAGATATGATTAGGTAAGATATTAACTAGTCGAATACTTTTAGAAAATTATGAGGAATCAATAAACCTAGGATCAAAGGGAAGACCTCTACTAGAGATGCTCTTGGGCAACCAGATTACTAAGCATCACTAAAAAATACGAAGGAATTCTAACTCAAAACCAAATAAACAATCCTGTTTTCAGTGAATTAAACTCAAAATTCACACTTCACCGGAAATCTCAAAGACAATTTCTCGTGATGCGACTCCGAATCGAGATAACCTAACTAAGTCTGTCTACTTTAAGTAGTGTGATTATTTGGGTTGAAAATATAAGCCGAAACACACAAAAAGCGGTGAAGCTAAATGATTGCAGGGAACTGAAGTGATTAAGAAATAAATGGTGGTCAGCTTACACATGTGAAATATTTCAAAGTTACCATCAAATTCAGCTTGCTTATTTGAGAACTAAGATGGACAGATAAAATGACTGTTTATAAATTTTTTAATAACAGTAAATGGTTAGCTGGAGAATTACTCCTTTCATACAGTTTAACCTGTAATCGTTTGATGTGCAGATAGTAACACAGATGTATATTTATTCAGAGATCAATAATATAGTTTATTAACATCGCAAAATAATGTAATACATGTCAATGATTTCTTCCCAGTAGGTACTTACTTCTCCCTCAGGAAATGCGTGAAAAAGGAAAGGGATCCTTATCGATGACCCCGGCCACCTTAAAATGTTATTAACTGGTTGAAGCTAGTCATACACCACTTTTTATTAGCAATTTATAATCCAATAGCACTGAATCTAAATGGAAATGAAGGTAGCTGTTGTTAGGGGCGATCATTTCCAACTCTTTCAATCTCTGGTGATATGAGCTGTTAATTATTCAGGGATATAGGTTTCTGGTGCCTCATCTTGGCAGAACCATCACGACAACTCAATTCTCGAACTGTAAAGTCCCTGATTCTGGTTTCCCCACTTTTTCAGGTGAGCGAATAGTTATTTGATGGTTATTGAGAATCACCTAAGTCTGTCTATTTTAAATAGTGTGATTATTTAGGTTGAAAATATAAGCCGAAACACACAAGAAGTAGTGACGCTAAATGATTGCAGGGCATAACGTGAACTAATCACATTTTTAAGAAGATGCAATATCTTCTTGTTGATGTTCAGGACTTCATGGGATTAGTTTATGTTGGCATGTCTACATCATGAGCTGTTCCCTTAACAAGTTCTATATATGCAGGGTTTGGTATATTTTGTGAATTGCTACTAGCAACGTAATCTAAACTCTTACAAATATATTCATACATTTTGAGTTAACGGTTACATAAACACAGTGCCTTAGTGAATAGTGCGTTGCTGTTCAAGGCTATAAATAGCGGATTTGAGTCTCAGTGTGAGTATCATGACGTTAAGACACAAGTACAAAACGCACATCCTGGATTCAATTACTAGTGAAAATTCAAAAATATAACTATATTCGATTATACAGCAATTTATCAGCTAAATGTACGTTTATATATTATTCTAGAAAACGAACCAATTGTGAGAAAACCAACAATGATGTCTTGCTGTTCACACCTAAATAAATGTGCCGGTGATAAGATAGTTGGAAACCAACCGTTTAAGTTAATGCAATGTAGTTACACAAATAAGTATGCTACCATTTATGATAAGACACTACTGATCATGCAATAGGATTGGTCTCTTAAATTAAGGTCTAGTTCACCTTTTATTTCTAAATGGATATATATCAGAGATGAAAGAAAAACAATTTAGTGTATAATGATTCAAGTATAATCTTATGAAACAAAATTTATACTCAAGTATAAAAATTTCCAGAATTCATTTGACATAAAATTGTAGCATAAATTAATAAATATGAATCACAAAACATTCGTTGAGAATGCACTAGATTATAACAACCTTGTGTTTGTTGCTTACATATACATGTCATGAAAATAAAATCTTTAAATTATGCTTATACAAATGATATTTATAACTTGATACATTTTTTGTAACTTCATTATAGACCTATTGATGTCTGATCAACCCTAATGGGTTGGTGTCTGACGAAATCTCAGCACCGATTCGAAAAGCTCGCTTGGCATTTGCCAACTTACGTCACCTATGGCGAAGGCGAGATATCCGTCTATCAATAAAAGGACGAGTATACTGCGCAGCAGTCCGTTCTGTTTTAACTTACGGCAGCGAAACATGGCCATTAAGAGTAGAAGACACTCTTAAGCTACAAGTATTCGACCACAGATGCCTTAGAAATATTGCTGGCGTCTGCTGGGATCACCGGGTAAGTAATACTGAGGTTAGACACAGGGTATTAGGGATTGATGGCAAATCAGTTGATGAGGTTGTGAATCTTCATCGACTGAGATGGTTGGGCCACGTGTTACGTATGCCCGAACACCGATTACCACGACGCGCAATGCTAACTAGTGTTGAGGATGGTTGGAAGAAAGTTAGGGGTGGCCAAACCAAAACGTGGCATCAGTGCTTGAAGCCACTAACTTTTAGTCTGAGTCATGTTGGGAGATGCAGACTACTTGGTTGCGGTCCACATAACTATCGTAACCAATGGTTGGAGACTCTTGGTGACATGGCTCAGAATCGATCACAATGGAGTCGGTGTATACACTTGCTGTCATCCTTAAACTAAGAGATTAAAATCGCTTCATATCTTTCTTTCTACGAACTAATTCTTTCTTCCTGTACTATATCCTTTATATGCACCCTCTGAATTAACTACTTTTATGAATCCGGTGTCCATCTTGTTGTGTTAATGAGGTATGGCAACTTGGACCGATGCATATATGTGCCTGGTCCTACGTTGAAGCTGACTGACTGACTGATACATTCGTTATAATAACAGGATCGCTAAAACTAAGTTAACGGAACTGAATAAATGAATAACTTTCCATTTGATAGATTGCTAATTTAAGGTTTGGGAGTAACACAGACGAAATGTATGCAGAAATATATCGGTTACACATTTAAGATACAGTATTAGGGGTAAGACTAATCCAGTACTATAACTTTCAACATCGACTAGGTAGATATAAAATCAACCACAAAGTAGTAAATTTTGAAGTATAAATGAAAAAATTAATGTTTGAAATGAACTGTTTAAAATGCCTGCATCTACAATGATACAGGTTGACAAAAATTAACACTAAAATGCTGGATAATAGTTACGTCCTATCTGCAAAGAGTTAAGGTGGGTGTGTCTTTACATGTTGAGATTCCAAATGAAAATCGAATTTAGCAGATAATAGAGCAGAAGTCAGAGTGAAGCTGAGATCAATTCTTGCCTAGATACGTTCTATTTTCAACTAACTCAGAAACATTACAAAAATTTAAACAGATAGGTTCATAAATTAAACAACAAGACTCACTTCAGCAATTTCTAAATGGTTCCAAAAACAAGCATAGTGTAAAGCTGTATTACCATGTTCATTTGCAGCATCCACATTCAGTCGGTGAGAATTTAACAAATAGTGTACAACATCAAAATGTCCATGAGCTGCGGCTAAATGTAAAGCTGTATCATCACCCATATTTGTAGCGTTAATACGAGCTCCACGAATAACCAATAAATCAACTATATTTCTTTGTCCTTCACGTGCAGCCCAATGTAACAGGCTGAACCGATGTTCGTCGCCCTGATTTACATCGTTTTCTATATCATCTAACCATAATTTTACTTCATGAAGATTCCCTTCACGAACGTGGGCGATAATAGTTTCCATGAATTAAAAATGAAACAATACCGAAGCTCTGAAAGTAAACATTTTCACATTGGTCGAACAAGTACAATCAGATAAGTTGAAAAGTTGAACTCTAATTGATACGTGTATATTTAAAGAAATAATGTACAAAGAAAACAAATGTTAATCATCTTTTTTTATAGGAGCATGGTTTCAAGTTTAGTTTCGGTAAACTGTGCACAAGCTCTGAGGAACAAGAAGATACTTTGCGAAGAAGAGCACGAACAAAGTACGTATCGCTAGTTATCTCTGAAAATTGTTTAGCGAACCCATAACGCTTTAGCTTTTTCAAAAAATCATTGAATTTTCCATCAAATCTGCTAGTTACATCAACGATTATCAGAACACCACTGAAAAGAATTTGTAAACAAAGGATTACGTGAAGTTAATTCCAAGTGAAGAAATTTCATCAATCATTGAGTTCAACTAATGTGAAGAATAAGAATTAGTGATCATTTCATAAACCAAGCAGATTAGCCAAAATGAAAATTTTTCAACTATATTCCTGTATACAAAGCTCTATTTTAATTTTTTGTTTATTATGCACTTATTTTTCGAAATCCCGAAGCAGAATGGTGAGTAAAATGTAACTTTGATCACGGGATTCCACCTGACCGCCTTCAGCAAGAGACATACACTTCCCAACACGAAGCAAATAAACAAATAGAGATAACCATTTTTGCCATACCTATGTGTTATATCACAGCTTCTAAACGAAAATAATAGGATTTCGAATAAAAAACTATTTTTTATGCAGTCTCGTTATATTGCCGATACCTTTAAAACAAACAATCATGAAATGTCTTTAACTACGCATCATATGCCAAAAGAAAAACTGCTTTGAAAGCCAAATTATCTGTCATACGACATCCGGTTACTAGTGTAAAATTTTCCGGAAAAGTAAATAAAACTTAACGAAAGTGAGAGATACTGGATATTGTGAAGTTCAACTCGACTAAAAGTGTCAAGTCTTGACATAATGATGGACTAGTGGTATAAGTCTGACCTGCACAAATAGAAAATTTACTTTTTTGGTGTAACGTTCTTGATTACATCAGGACTATCAAGAAGAGCATAACCAACTAGCTCCCAGAGCACTCAAATATATTTGTGAAACAAATGTTATAAGATTAATATAATTATTTATTTATTTATTTAAACACAAATATCGGTACAAAAAGGCACCAAACAGATATGCGCCACACAAATTATTCGATTTTTGTGAGGGCTAGGATACTACCAGGGTGCCCAAACCGCAGCAGGTGGTTTTCTTAAGAGGGGACACCCCGAGTCATCGACCTAAATGTATAATACACAAGGCAGTGAAATAACGTCAGGAGATGCAGTCCCATGGTAACCGGTAACCAACGATTGGTTCACACGCCATTTATTCCCTCAGGATCCTGGACCCCATGTACACTATTAGTTTAGAAACAGTGTTTTTCAACTCCCCTAATTGGGTAATCTATACCCATTAATCCGGTTAAAGCACCGGATATTTGCTTTTCATTCTCTCAAATTCGTAAACAACACCCTCACCGCGAGAAGGCAGTGAGTAGGAATTCCTTGGCAATGGTTGTATGCATGTAGCCATGTGAAAGGATTTCGAGAAGGAGAGTTGACTCTCCCCACTTTCGGCCATACCATGGCATTTGGTAGCGATATAATTACGTTGCCAAATAGGTGTTCTTGTGTTCAGATTTCAGCCAAACCTAATGAACTAAGGGTTCTAATATTACTTGATAGCTGACAAAACTAAATAGGGTGAAGTGGGGCTCAAAACTGTACTTTATTGGGTGGAAGCTGTGTGATATTGCCTTTATTCCACATTCTTTGAAAACCTATCATTCCAGATTTTGAGATTTCATGAGTTAGGTTATACCGATGAAAAACTGGCTACGTGAGCACGTATACCATATAATTCTATGAAAGAATTTTTAAAGCAGTCTCATTTCAAAATCGAAACAACACATTGAACAGCTTACCCAGATTTCAAAATGCGATTCGCTTCATACAAGAATTCTGAACAATTGGTTCCCATTAAAGATAAGCAAAACACTGCGATATCAACTTCGTTGTTTTTAAGAGGTGTCTATAAAAATCGAAAATCAATTTGTATGTCCTATTTTTATTCGCAATCAGATTAGTAAAAACAAATATGTGCATTAACAATTAAAGCCTCAGTGAAGAACTTCTTAGAAAGTTTCGTCTATTAATCTATGTCTTTGTATATCGATTATTGGAGAAAGTGATTTTAACTGCATTTTCAACAAAGAAAACGACAGATGTGTACATATTTAAGATCCTAAAATGAAGAGGAAACATACTAGTGTATATTCGTTTTTTTTAAAAGAACATTTAGGTTAAACGTCGAATAGTTAGGTCATCACTCAACCCACCAGCATTGTGCTGGAAGTTAGTATGTAGGTTGGGATATGTGTGAAAAATCTTTGTAAAACATTTACAAAGTACAGCTTTACTTATTTATTTATTTAAACACATAAATATTGGTACAGGAGGGCACCAAATATATATGCGCCACACAAAACAATGAGAATTTAAAGAGAAGGAAAAAAGGTAAGGAGCGTAAAGAAAACGATAACGAACAGATTAGTGTAAGGTGGTGTAATAATAATAATGAGGGAAACAGAAACGTACACTCAGAAGAGATCTTTCAGTTAAGGAAGAAGCAACCACTTTTTATGAAGAAAGTAAAAGGTTACAGCAGGATCGCCACTGGCTTCTATTCTGAGCCATAGCTGATAACGTCTCTACTCGAGAACGTTTAGATAGAACCGAATTTCTACCATAGACGAGCTGCTGTATAAGTCGAAAAATAAGGATAGACAGAGTAGGAATAAAAGAGAGTGAATAAATGATGTAGTAAATAATAACAACAGTAATAATAATAATAATAATAATAATAATAATAATAATAATAATAATGTGAATCGTTTGATTAATAGTTGAAGCAAGAAAAGTATTTTCCATAATTATCGACAGTTCATCATATTTGTGTGCGGGCTGTGATACTACTCGGATGCCCAGACCGAAGCAGGTAGTTATCTTAGGGGGCCACTCCCCGAGCCTTCGACCTGAAGGTCTGATTCACAAGGCAGTGGAGCAACTGTAGGAGGTGTAGTCCCATGGTAGCCGGTGACCAACGATTGGTTCATACGCCATTTGTTCCCGCAGGATACTGGAGCCCATGTGCACCATTGGTTTGTGATCCGGTTAAAGCGCCGGACATTAGCTTTCCGTCCTCAGCTTTACTTACTCTGAAGTGGCTTAAACTGAGTCATGAAACGTAGGAAAATTTACGTTTTCTACGGATTGGGATATTACGAATATATCATTTATTGATAACAATCTACCCAATGCTCAATTTATTAGAGATCATCAAATCAAATCTTGGTAATGATACTTTACTAACTAGGGTTTGAACCACGTTAGAATTCAAGGGGCCAGTGAAACTATTTAGATATCCGGAATGGAATGACTAGAGCGTAGTTCGACTCCGAAAACTACTAGCTGAAAGTCATGTTTTCATCAGTAACTTGGATCTTGAGTTAGAATACTAGTCGTCTGAAAATCCCTTAGTAACTAGGACGTTGCATTCACCTGAGCGGATAGATTTCTATAAGTATTGAGGTTTGATTGTATTTTTTGGCTAAAATCTATTATACATAATGTAAAACTAAGCACAAACAGGTATCAGCTCAAGTTACAGCATCACATAAGAAAAGTGAGATAAAATTAACAATACGTATAATAGGCCATTCGGAATAATAATAGTGGTAATGACTGTAAGAGAAACTTAATATGAAGAAGGAATTAGGAGAATAAAAGTGTGAAATAGTGTTTAAACTCAAAACATGGGTGAACCCTAAGGATGAGCGCATCCGGGACATCGTGATTGATCTCAACTTGTTACCTGATATTAACTTATGAACCTTGGAGAAATAGTTTACATAAAACAACACGGCTCAATCCAAAAATGAGTGGTCTCAGATACCGACCCTATGAGGTGTTTTGAGCCCCACTTTTAGTTTGCTTCGAATCACTCTCTTATCCCATCAACAATGCTGACTGGGGTTGGTGGTGGCTAGCAAGCTTAACACCTAACTGTCTCGAATGGTGGAAGTTTATAGCCCCATGAACTGGATTGGATCTTTTTCATCAGATACCTTCAGTATCACTCAATCTGTTTTTTTATCACATGCGATCGATCCTCCGAAGAAACTATCATTACATCCTTCTAACTTACGTACATTCTCTTCGTTTGATGGAGTAGTCTGTTGGTGATCAAGAGATTTAGTTCCGACCAGTGGGTTGCGAACCCTAATCCATTTATTCCAGTCTATAAGCCGAATAGTGTAATTGATTCTGACACAAATGGTGTTCTTCAAAGCCAGTAAAGTAAGTTTGCTGTTGGTAGATGAGTTACATTGAAATAATGAACTTTTTTAGATTATTTCACAGCCACGAATTAAAATAGGACTGATGCATAAATAGTACAATGTCTCGATGGTTGGGAGACATCTCACCAGAATAAAATCATTTGCGCAACGGAGTGTTCCTTAAGTCACGTAACTATCTAACTGAGTTGTTGCATATGCAAACAACTTTGGGAACAAGTTATACATATTACAAATCAACTAAGTTATCACAACAGAACAATTAATTATGGAAGTGTCAGGGAAATCTAACAGAAGGCGCAAGCATGGTAAGCAACGGAGAAATCGTCATAAACATCGATAAAGTACATGGTACATAACGATACGACTTACATGAGCCATATCACAAGCAATGACACGTTCGTTTACGGAGACAAGATCAAAAGAGTACACTTCGTAATTACTGGGCAATAACTGACTTAATCTTCCATCACCACAACCAAGATCAGCTACTTTGTAGTTTGCCATTAAATTTGAACATTCTTCGATAATTTTACTCTTGACCCAGATGAGAGGATCTTGAGGCCACTGGGAAAGTTGGCGTTGATAACCTTCATGGTATATTTCGAATGATTCAGGATCCTCCTTGAAAATAGCAGCTGCTTCTTCACTTGTGCAGGTATACAACTTTTCATTCAGAAATCGAAACCTCTAACTTAGATTGTAAGAGAAAAAACTTACATTGAAGCGTTTATCAAGCAATCGAAAGTGTTCTTCTTTGGATTTTTGGGATGTTTAGATACTTTCTCGATTTTTCCAGAGTGATGTCTAGGCTTTCTCTTGGTTTTTGAAAGTGTTTTCTTGAGCTTTGATAAGTTGAACTTCGTCATATGAATGGTGAAGTAACGCCGCAATCTATTTTACCTCCAAAATCTATTAACCCTGAACTTCGTGCCGTCAAAATGGATGACTCAAATGACTTGAATTATGTACGTAGACTGTTAAAAAGCTTTTGTTTTAACTCTTACTCTCCTAATGTGATGTTGCCTAGCCCTGGAAGGGACGAGATGAACTAGAAGATTATCGAACTTTGAAAATCGTCAAAAAGTAAGTCATGAATGTACGAAAAGTGCTTTTCGTTAACTATTTGAGACAAAATCAAAATTCCTTCAGCTGTCACACTTCCGTCATAGACGAAAATGCATAGCATTTTACTGTAATTTTGATAGCAATTTGGTGTCCTACTCTTTTAATTGACTGACTCGTCGGTTTTCGCACCTGTATTAGCTGTTCTTCATTTGCTGAATAACCTCATACCTGTTACGTTTACGGGTCCCAATGGGTATATTCATGACTGTTGACATTCATTGCGGAAATTATTTCAGAACCACTGACGATGCTATTCAATAACTTCATGTTTTTAACTGAACCCCGTAAGGATTGTAAGGACGTTATGGTTAGCCCGATATTTAAATGTGGAGGGACACAGACTATGCCCAACTACTGATCTGTCAGTTTAACCATCATGAGAGTTAAGTTACTTTAAAAAAGAAACCACGTTACCTCACTTCGTCACACAGAATGATGCAACCTGCCACTCATGAGAAACAATGGTTTCGAAATGAACACTCATACTTAACGAACCTACCGAGTGCCAGAGAGGATCAAAAATCGGCCCAAGGTAACGCTTTATCTGTTAGTGTGATAGCCATATAGTTCAGGGAAAGATTCAAAGATTTAAATCCTGCCCGTACGCAAATTTCTCAGGAGTGACGGCGAATAGAACATTACCTGAACAGGTGCCAGTTTTAGGTTAACGTGCTACAGGGCACGACATTGCTTCCCCTACTTTGTTCTTCTGCATATCAACAAATAATCGGAACTGTCTAAGTTGTCAGTCGTGCTGTTTGGAGATGACATCAAGATCTGGAAAACAATGAGTAGTGAAGCTGATCATCTTTGCTTCCATGGGTGCAGGAAAATGAAACTTAGAAGGAACAGTAACTTATGAGTAGTGTTGGTACCCTATAATCTAAAATCTTACGCTATCTGCGAAAAAGATGCCTTTCGAGCAAACCTTGAAGTAGTAACTTTGAGGTGCGTTTTTAGCCGACTGGACTAAACAACAGTTCTACTCAATCCCATTTAGGGTATGAAAATATAATGTTTCTTCCCTCACTCCAAAAGGATAGGAATAAACTGCAAAGTATTCGGCGGCGAGCCACGAAATCAGTTGGGGCACTAAATTCAAACCTTATGATGAGCGGCTCTGATCACTGGACTTTGGGACATCAGTGATGACCTTTTAACGACCAATAAAAACTTAAACACTCCTGAGTATCCTCTTAAACACATACTTAGGCTCAGTCCCAACGCAAACCTTGGGAAAAACACGGAGAACTTGGAGACACAACACAGCAGAACGTACTGTTCACATTCTACTCCTTAAGAGTAGTTAAATGTTGGAATTCACCGCCGGATGATGTAGTGCAAGCGAGTTCCTGAAAGTCCTTTAAGAGGAAACGTGACATATTCCTAAGGAATAGGGGCAGTTCCTTTCCATAATTAACTTTTTTCTTTTTTATCATCAGGTATACCTAGGTTCCTATCTGGAGGAATCGACGATCTACTGCTATTAGATACGAGAGCTCATTAAGCGAAAGCTTTTCCTAATCCGTTCAGAACTACTTGAAACTATTTTAAAATCAATTGCGTATTGCAACCCAGCATTCCTCAAAGGTTTTCTGGTGTTGTGGTCACTTCGATGAACATTCAATTGCTTTGATGCGTTGTTTCGGATTTTATATTCCACCTAAGTGAGACCACACCTAGAGTACTGTTACCGAACAAAAAGTTCACGTTCTATTAAGAAAACTAACATAATCGAGCGTGTTCAGGGTGTGGGAACAAAACTAATGGAAGGCCTTTCCAAATTTTCTAACGATGAGCGCCCAAAACGTCTTAATCTTTTCCTCTTATCGCATCGCGAAACGCAAGGGGACCTTGTGTTGTCATTCCGCAAGTTTACTAACGATCTGAATATTTATGTCTCATCTTTTTTCTCCCTGGAGAACTAATCGTCTGTGAGGCCACAGGAAGACGGCTCAAGAATTGCAATTTCATAAATTCAATGTGGGGTTCCGTTTTTTCTCATCAAGTAGTCATTGACCTTAACGCCTAACGTTAACGGGTAGCATCAGCCTCATCAGCAAACGACTTCAAGGAGAAGCTGAACATTCTCTGGAAAACAGGCTGCAAGTATCAAAATCGGTCCACCAACCTACAAATCTTATTACTGACGACTGAAGCTTGAACGCGGAAAGTTTGTCCGTGATGTTTACGGCGATTTTCCGTTTTGCTATTAAGTCTAGGGCTACCTAGTTTTATCCTCCAAGTCTTTCAGATATGTTACGTGCAGTGTCTGTGGACTTCCCTTCCACGTGGGGATCACTAAAAGATGTAGTATATAAGCTTCTTCGGTGCGATTTTGTTGACAGGGATTTGTGGAATTCTAGTTTCGGCTATGTGTATAGCTTATGTACTTCAAGTCCGGTTTCTCATGCATCTACTTTGTATAAATCTACTACAACACTCATTAGCGAGAGGGTAGAAGAAATAGCATCAGAGTTGGAGGTCATGAGTGACTCTGATTTACTTCCAAGATATGTCAAGTTTTGGGAGTCATATCATCGCGGACTTACATATCTAGATATCCTTTATAGGTATATTTTTAAAGTCCTTAATGTTTAATGTTTACTCAGATATATGAATACGCAGCACGTGAAGAATTTAAGGCCATCAGAAGCCGATATGTGCTATGGAGCGGCACTTCCTATGGCAGATCAGCATACTATGGAAATTCTGGAGGTCGGTCTTGCTTTCTGGAGACTATATCTAATCGATTGTATGAAAAGTCGATTGTCCTCTTGCTTGATGCGCGAAGTTCTCAAGTGAGTTCCATCTTTTTATTTCTAAACTTCAAATAGCGACAGATTGGGAATTTGTGGACAACAGAATTGCATACATCCATGTTTGGCATCCCTTTTAAGAGTTGGAGAAGTAAGGGATTTTGAAAGAGTAAGCAAAATACGACAGAAAAGATTTGCATTGTGGCCCTGTTTTTTGTCTTAACTTTGTATGTTAAAGAACACGTTTAAATTTTTCGTAGCCACTCCTTTTTCTTTCGCATGTGTTAACTAGGAAATGCGAAGTGTTTTGATCAGTGAATACTCTCTCTATAATAAATAACCTCGTGTTGACACAAACCTTAGCACCACACATATCGATTACTTTTGTGTCTGTTCTGTTACTATTCGTATTAATCCATGTTTACTACCATTTTTATTAGACTACTTCTCCATTATCTTGGTCCAATGCACTAGTGGCGCTAATACTTCTGTTCTCCCATTACTTAAAAGGCTGGAATGGAAATATACAACCAAATATTTCAGAACCCTCTGATTGACGCTACGCGGTCATTTTACTCGCAATGGGCATGTCAACGGGAGTCGGAATTAGGATGTGCTCAGTATGTGACTGAGGTATGTCACAATTTAAAATATCGTGTTCGTGTATTTTACATTTAGAACCTTTGCAGCCAAAGTCAATAGTTATTTGTTTACTTGCTGTACAGTCTTATATTGACGTATATATTCTCTCCGCACATACAATAACACGACTTAACGACGTACAATAATTAACGTCATATGCTTTTCATATTTTGTTTCCATACTTTTTGATTACTAAAATCATAACTAATCACTGGATAAACCTTTAGCTCAAACATTATTAGTCACCGACTACCATGGGACTATATCACCTGACGTTACTCCACTGCCTTGTGGATCTAATCTTTAGTTCGAAGGCTCCGGATGTGGCCCCCTAAGAAAACCACCTGCTTCAGTTTGGGCACCCGGTCAGTATCATAGCCCACACAAAAATCAAGTGACTTGTGTTGGGCGTATGTATTCGATACCCCTTTGTATCAATATTTGTGTTCAGATAAATAAATAAACGTAAGTATATATTTACCTCAAAGGGTTTGTTCTTCGTTAAACCAATCAGTAACGAATCATAGGATTCGAATTACATCTCTAGTGTGGCATAAATACTACATAGGTGCTCAATTCGAATTGCATAAACGAAAGTCCAATCCACAGAATTGGTTGGAAGTCATGCTTTAACCTGTAAGCCTAAAGTTTTGGGGACACATGTATATGTGTATTTATGGTAACATAGTCGGTCATAATTTCTATAACATGATAAGCCCAACAGGACATATTCATCTTCAGCTAGTTTATTATCCCTCGAGAAAATTCCACATCTTAATTATTATGCTACATGCTTTAGCCGGACAGTATGAGGCTCAGTAATCTATTCTTTTACATAATGAAAATTACACCATCTCGCGTCTATATCGCGGTTGAGTGTTTCGTTTGGTTTTGACAAAAAAATTAATGTCTCGGATTCTATTGTTTTGTGTATAAAATTGTTCGAGGATTCAGTTATTTGTTCCTCATTAGAATCATGATATTTGATAAAATACCAATAATAAGCAAGATATGTAAGTTTTATATTTTGTAAACATTTTTGTAGGCACTAGCTTTGCGGACAGAAGAACATAATCGGGCTATACAATATTATAAATGTTCACTGCTACCAATGCAAAATTTGTTTCAAGAAATAATTGTTGAACAGCGTTTAAATTTCCTTAATATGAACGTTCGCTATGTCATTGCTGAAGAGGATAAATCAAGTAAGTGCGATAGTTATACCCAATTATCTCACTAATAAAACCAAGCAAATAAGTTGATTTATGTCGTGTATACTTTTTTGTGGCATTAGTCTATCTGGTATATAAATTATGTATGTATTTAGTTATGCTGAAAAGTAAATACCACATTCTTTTTGCTCTTATTACGAGTCTTATGGACTTTATGTCTCCCAAGGTTCGCTTAGCCTAGCTTGGTTATGTTGTTGTACTCGCACACTGGCGTCGATTTAAATTATTACATGAAAATTTGTGTTAGTTAATAACTGTTTCAATCCAATAAACATACAGTTTTATATCCCAGGACATGAGGTCCACCATATGTATTAGGATTAGATATACTACTTGGTTGTGTAAAACAGGGTACTTTAATTAGTTTTTTAATAAATGTTCTTAAAACACTAACATGCAACTTATCCGATTTTTTGTGTACTGTCTCCTTGACAAATTTTCACATATATCTCCATCTTAAGTAACATCTCACGTGATGGTTTCTTTTTATTCTATATGGTTTTTTAAAATGTATCATTCTCCATTAATTTATATTCTTGTACGAAGTTGTTTGCTATATGTGGTTTGTAAAGGATAGCATTACTGCAAACTAATTGATTCGTATTTCTATGATGGAAAGTAGTAATGCACATTAGGTGTTGTAGTTACCAGTAATCATAATCAAGGAGTTATGTAAGGGTAATAAAGTCGATAATTAATTGCGTGATCATTCAAAATGGTAAGAAATAGAATCAAACTAATATATAAACATCAATAAAATCATATGGAGTAAAAACTCGAAGAAGAAAGGGGGTTTAAAAATTAATCAAGGTTATTTGATTAGTATATAGTCATTATCCCAGAAAAAGGCTAATCACATTTTCCTTCTGTAAACATAGGTCAGGTCGGAAACATCCAATAGCGATTGCTTCTACAAAGTGAAGTAAGATTGATGTTGCTTCTGTTAATTATTTCAAATCCACTTCTTTTATCCACTTCTGTTATCTAATAGTTGCTTGGCAGTTGCACTTATGAAGACTTACTGTCCTTCAGGCATAAGTTCTTAGGGACATGTTCAGAAAACATAGTAGAAGCCCCTATCTCTGTTCTTCCTATATACTTGCTACCTCAGGCATATGTAAATTCAGAGATCCGATTGGCGATGACATTGGGAGGGTATTGATCTACCTTTGAATGGTATAACAAATACAGTGTTGTGCACTGAAACCAATTGAGCAGCAGGAGAGTTTAGTTTTACTACCATCTTGATACTTTAATCGATTGTTTTCTTTTTTTCACATATTTCTAACAAACTACTTTCAAAGCAGACTATTTGTATTATAACGTTCCTTCGTCAGAATTTTGTAAGAGGTCAGCATCGTTTGACCGAGATTTTTACTTTGGGTTTTTCTCATAATTATATTAGGGCGAAAACTGCATTCATTATTTGTATAAACTTCAAAAGCTAAAGTAATATTTAATTAGTCTTAAATTGCTCTATATACATATTTATTTCCTTTCGATCGATTTACTTCTTCGAATACATTCATAGATTTAAGAAATCTTTTTCGGTTGCTATCTCCGAATAATCTTTGTAACGAGCTGTTACATTGTTTTGGCGAATATGTTCGAACCAGTATTTTAGAAGCTATTTCCAACCTTCCAAAAGACTCTTCAGTAAGTTAAAAAATTTTTATTTCCATCGACTATTATAACTAGGGGTATACTTAAGCCTGCTATCCCTCTTGGCGCTGACAGACAGACATCAACATATAGCCCTTCACAGATATGTGTTGGTCCAAGTTGCCTTACCTCATTAGCACGATAAGATAAATGACAAAATAAATCAATATAGTGCAGTAATAATAATGATGAGAACGACTGAACTTTTGAAATATTGAATTTAATGATAGGGTGGAAAGGTATGTACGAAGGGATGCTGGGATTCAAGATCGACAGGAAAACGAGGAAGAAATGCATCTGCACCATTGTGAAAGATTTTGAGCCATATAATCCAACATCTCTAGTCACTGATTTCGGCTATCTCTCTTACCTAAACTAGGTAGCTTTTATCTGGCGTATGAACCTATTGTTGGTCACCGCCTAATATAGGACTGCAACTGACGTTTCTGCTTTTGCAACCTCAAGTGGTGTCCGTCTAGGCTGTCCACTTTCTCCATTTTTGTTTAGCTTCATCATAGACCTATTGATGGAAATAACATTCTCGTCTACTGAATTCTCGGGTATTGATCTCCATCCAGGAGGTCCACTTATCGACTTAGAATATGCAGATGACATAGTCCTGTTTGGTGAAGACGCTGATAAAATGCAGAGTCTTTTGGTAGCACTAAGCAACAATGCCAGAATGTTTGGAATGCGCTTCTCTCCCTCTAAATTCAAGTCGTTGCTTCAGGACTGGTCTGCGTCAACACCTGAACGAAGGATAGGGAGTGAAGCAGTCGAACGCGCTGACAACTTCACTTATCTTGGAAGTCTGATCAGCCCTAATGGGTTGGTGTCTGACGAAATCTCAGCACGGATTCGAAAAGCTCGCTTGGCATTTGCCAACTTACGTCACCTATGGCGAAGGCGAGATATCCGTCTATTAATAAAAGGACGAGTATACTGCGCGGCAGTCCGTTCTGTTTTAATTTACGGCAGCGGAACATGGCCATTAAGAGTAGAAGACACTCTTAAGCTACTAGTATTCGACCACAGATGCCTTAGAAATATTGCTGGCGTCTGCTGGGATCACCGGGTAAGTAATACTGAGGTTAGACACAGGGTGTGCCCTATCCGTTTCTAGAGTCTTTTCCTAGTTTACTCAGCTGGTAATTATTTGCCATAGTAGGTCATTGCCGTTTTTTTCTAACTGGTGGGTCTGGAGTATCTTGTGTAGACATCTATTTATAAATACCTGTACATTTTGGTAATGGTTGTGGTAGTTTAGTTCCGTCTTATAGAACTGTTTTAATGTTTGCGCTAAAGATTCTAACTTTGGTATTGTGTGAAAGTCCTTTTGAATTCTAGATTTTACTTGATTGTAATAATGTCGTCTTTGTTTCCCCCATTCGTGCCTTCATATGCACATCAGGACCTTCTCAGGTATATAAAGGCTTCTACCTCTTTCAGAGCTTCCACGGTGTTTAATGTATTCGATGCTTTTTCTAAGATATACTAGTCTTCATAATCCATTCAATAGCTAGCAGAAAGGGAAAATGCACGATTAAGGAGCCTTGTCTGACATCAATCTTCACTTGAAGTGCATCCATGTGCAGCTTTTGATACACGCAATTCAGTTCCTTGTAGGAGCTACGTATAAAGATGAATTATCTTTTGAAGTACTCCATATTGTCGGAAATTTTATAAGTTTTTTCCTATTCATGCTGCTAAATACTTCTCCATGATAGAAAAATTTGTTATGTAGTGATGAGTTCCATTCCATTACTTACTCGATAATAGTTCTCTATATCTCAAATTGATTGGTACATTATCCATTCTTATAAAAGCCACCTTATTGATCTCTTGACGTAGAACGTCTATGGGATCCTTCACTCCTTACACAAAAATTATGCTGATTACTTTCCACATACTGACAATACTTTAATCCCTTTATAACCCTTACACTAAAATAGCGTTCAAATCCCCAACATTTTGTGTCAAGTACAGCTCGAATCAAACGAGCAAAGGCCCGTCATGATGGACACGTTAGTGAACTGAGTCGAACTAAAGTCCGATTCCTCCTAAACACTAATGAGGTGCTAGTTTGTAAAGGACGAACAATAAACGGTTTTATTGTGTATACTATTGAATCTTTTTACACTAGGTATCCAGTTAGGGACTAATCGACCACACATTAAGAACACGTCGTTCACCTGACTAGTACGTATATCAATCAATCACTAAATAAACATAAAGGGTAGGAAAATATGCATGCTACTTCAGATACCTATCTGATTATCTAAAAGTCAGTCGGTTCGAAAACACTAATTAGTCACTCTCCACTTTCGCCTACGCAACACTTCTCATGAAGTTTGTTCGTAAGACTTCCCCCTTGAAAAAATCTCATTTGTTTTCGTCCCATCACTGGCCTTCGACTGACTGCCAATTTAATTCGTTTTATGTTGTCAGTTTTTTTAAAACTTTGTATTGACAGTTACTTTTCTATTTTACTTCGAAACAAAGCTAACACAGGTTCATTTTGCTGAGAGTCTCTTAAATCTCCGAAGTAGATTTTTGGAGTATATTGATGATGTTTTTGATGGGAAAACTGGTTTCCGTAATCAAATGGATAAAGCCTTTAATTTGGCTGTGAATAGTCGTGTACCTTCTTCAAGTATCCTAGCCACAACATCTAAGTGAGTATTTATACGCTACTGTATTACATCTTTCTATCATTTGCTTTTTTGATCATATAGAAATAGCTTAGCAACGTTTTTTTTCAAAAATTCAAATGCCTTTTCCAAAAACCACTATCGGTAAAGATGTAATTTATCACTAATACCATGTGATCAAAAAATCTATTTTATCAAAATCTTAGGTTATTATTTAGACATTTTTTAAAAGTGAGTGGTATATTAAACTTATAGCAGCTCACGTGCAATTGAGTTTGTTCATATTTAATTCGGTTAAGCCCTTTTGTTAACTTATTTAACGGACAGAGCCATCCGTACAACAACAACTTATCTATACCATTGTACCTTTAGTATTGTTGCGCTTGTATTAATATGTATGCTTTAGCATTGCTTACTGCCAACGTATATATTCATTCTGCTAGCATCACTGTTAGTCGCTTAATTGATTCGATGATTAATTCATTTCACTATGTATACATATGTACATTTTAGTCCTGTTCATTGACTCGCCGACTCGCACGCTCACTTGGTTGCCAGCTTGCTTTTCGGCACTACTCTTTCATGCTTGGTTAACGCACCTGTGATTTTGATTATCTGTGCGTTGTGCAATAATGAACGTAATCAACACTTCGTATTCGCCTTCTGATTAATACACCGATAGGACGCTATCAATAAACGGTTATCAGAACGAAATGTGTACGAAGTTTAAGGATTATATTGAATACCGACCACCACAAACTCATTGTTGACATTAGCTTCATTATGCGACAAACAAACACGTGAATAAACCTTTAGGTTAATTTTGCCGAATTCATCCAACTATGTTTCAATGACAGGTCTGTATTTGATCATTCCATCTAATTGAAGTCGAATCTTAATGGAAAGTGTTCTAATGCTTTATGTATTGCTTTCTCAGCTATTCATATTGGGACGTAAATCATACTTATTATTGTCAGTATGAGATTGTGGATGTTGTTGAATGTACATTTAAATCACGAGCCGATCCAAACTGGAAAGCCGTTAAAGACTGCTGAAAGTACTGGACATCTGTCTCATCCTATTGCAAGTTGTGGGGTCGTAAATGCTCACTACTAAAGAGTCCCATATTAAGGTGAAACGGTCGTTCAATACCCCCATACTTTCAATGGTTACTTAACTTCAGTCAATGCGTGATTTCAATATTGAATGTTTAATACAAAATTACAGATTGGTCATTTAAAAAACCAAACTAGTTCCCATTAATTTTATTCAACTATTCAATTCTGATCTGATTAAGATTGATTGATAACTAATATAATGTAAAACTGTATTACTCTTTGGGTGACAATGCAATTTTAAAAACTAAAATTATCCACAATTTTTTTTACAATAATCATAAATACATAAGCCTAGCGTAATAAAATGTGTTTGTTAATATAAATGGTCGACAATTGTGAAAATCGTCTTCTTTGTTTTGATTTCTACTACTTACTTTCCATAGAACAGATAATGTCTTCTCAAGTTAGTTCTTAAAATGTCATTTTCAATAGGTCATTAACAAATTATATTTTAAATAATTCATCCCTAATAAAGTAGATCTAGCGTCTTAAAGATCCATTAATAACGTGTAGTGTAAAAATCACTACTATTTACTGGTCCACAAAAATGGCATCAAACTTAAATGCTCTGATCTGCTGTTATGAATTCTCTTATTACGACCCAGCTACTCTTATTGCTTAGTTATCTTGGACACTACTTCACTCGACAAGTCCCCAAATCAGAACACGGCTAAACAGTAATGTAATTATATTTCAAATAACAAGGTCGGATGGAAGTAGGGATCATGATAAGAAAAACGTTAGTATAATTATAATTTTTAGATAAAGCTAAAAAACTATTGAAAATGTCATAAATCATACTGACTAAACAAAATATACCATATATTCCAATCGTTTTAAAAGTAAGTAGTCGATAAAGATTATGTATATTTCTTAAAAAGTAGATTGACTGTTTCTTGGTATGTAGTTCATAAATATTGGATTCTTTCATTAAGGTTACATGAATCAATGTGTTCTCAAAAGGTACAATATATCTGACAGTCATATAGTATTTATCTATTGAATAAATCTTATAAATTTTAATTACTACTTGCTTCAAATGGTTTAGAATTTTTATCAATTATTGGATACATTTGCAGACAAACTAATTACAGACCATCTGAATTGTTATGTCGATACATGGATTCCTTATTACGTAAATCTGTCAAAACTATGACTGTTTCAGAAATTGAAACTAAGCTGACAGCGTCAATTGCTATTTTCAAGTATATTGATGATAAAGATCTTTTCCAAAAGGTGAGTAGTCTATTCTCCTTAATATTTTAAACTACTTAAGTAGGTTTTACACACAGGCTATTAAAACTCAGAAATAACGGATCAAAACTTGTTTCAAACTTTTTATCTGTCGACTTTCTCATCTGTAATTATCATCCATATAAAAATGTACAATATCATTATCTCAAATTTATACCTTCTGTGAATTTGTAGTACTTAGTGGTGAATATTTATTCTTGATCTTAGTTTCATTTTATATCACATCTTACAATGTTATCTTACAGATGTACGCTAAAACTAGGGTATCCTATGAAACATCCTTACTAAAATCGAACAAAAAGAACTAAGCTAGGGCAAGATTTGTTTGAGCGTTCCGAGTTACATTCCCATAACACGGATATACACATAAAAATATCCTTCGTCAAAACTTCTAGAAGTAGCCCAGAAAAATTTTATCCAGTCAGCATTAAATAGAAGCTTCTGAAAGATTAAGGGTCATGTTTTTGGTTCGGTAATTACCTATTCTGTTACCAAATTTAGTGTGCTTGCAGGAGGTTCTGGAAGCATGATTTCATATACAAATTTATAAATACCTTCGGTTTTCTGCGCACAAACTAACCTCCTACTCAAATTTCACGCCTTTTCTCCATTATTCAAGTTGACGTCTAGGAGTATTTTAGGAAGCGGTCAGAAAGGCAGTAATAAAAGGTTCCAGTAACGAACTTTTAAAGAGTTGATTGGAGGAAGAATAGGAATATTCAAAAACAGGGAATAGCTTTACCACATGAAGTCACTGAGTATTAGTGTATGTCATTTCTAGAACTTCGAATTCCCTAGTTAAGTTGAACAGAATAATTGTCATCTACTACTAAGGACCCAAATATCATGAATTTGAGTTAATGGTATTGAGGTAAATGTACGCATTTATTGTTTTTCTCTAAATCTTGAGGATAGTATCACTACGTATCTCTAATATCCATTTTAATCTTCTGGTTATGAATTATATTTCTTATTATAAGTATAAGGGGACTCGTGAAGACTTTAGAATTCTCAGTTTAAAATCACTAACTAGTCTTGTCTAGATCATGATTAAAAACCTAGAAACACTTTACGGTTGTTTCATCCTGACATGGGACTGCTTAGCAGTGTGCATCCACGACCCCGCATCCGGAAATCAAACCCATGATGTTCATCTCGCGCACAGACGTCTAAACTCTAGCCCACTGAACCGCTATCCAACGGTTTCAATGTCTAACTTTAACCTATTCGCGATATTATATAGCCTTCATCCATTGTTCGTGGTGAATAACTGTCTCACACTCAACACGTTTCGAACTCTGTTGGTCACGGCTTGACACTAGAACTCCGGCATTTAAATCTTGAAGCTAATCACTAGTAAGCACATGTTTACTGTTATTAGAGAGGATTTGTGAAGATTGTAAAATGTTTCTCATGTTTAGTTATTATTATCACTATCCATATCACTTTCTTCATCTTCTTGTGTTGTGCTGTTAAGTGTAGTAACGTCGACTGTAATGCGTTTTTTAGATAAACTTAATTTTTATTTATCATAGTTGTTGGTAATCCTCGAAATTGTAGTGTTCTCTAGAATTGCTGAATTACTAATTTATACTGTGAATAAAGAGATTAAAATTAATCTTCAATAATATTGATAACTTATGTTCATAATTATGATTACATTTTTCTTAGTATTATCAACGTATGCTGTGCAAAAGACTGGTGTTCAATTATTCTTCCATGCTTGAACTTGAAGAATCTATGATTAATCAGCTAAAAACTGTTTGTGGATATGAATTTACTTCAAAATTTCAGCGTATGTTTAATGATGTTCAACTTAGTCCTGAGTTAAATCGGAAGTTTAATGAGTACTTACAATCAAAAGATATACGTTTTACCTTTGGTCATCATTTTCATGTTTTAACGGTAAGTAAACTCAATTTTATGTTAATAATTGTGATTAATTTTAAACAATATACCACACAATATCTTTTTCTTTAAAAAAAGATATCTTGTTAGAGTAACTTAACTGATTAAGTTTTAGAAATATGCGGGTTTTGTGCTAACAAAGCGGGAAATACGAAGTCTTGAGTTAATAGTGAAGGCAATCAAAGAACCGATAAACTGAACAAATTTTCCGTTGTTGTAAAATCTAATATGTACGAACTTTGTTAAAAGTTCCATTGAAATCATGAACCAATCAATGCCTTGTTAAAAGAATAAATTCTTAACAATCCAACCTTTATGCTTAGAATAATCTGAACACTGACTAGCCCATATGCAAACAACGCTCCGGAAAAAATCCAAAAGTTGTTAATACCTTATGTGATTCCCATATAAAATCGATTGTTTTTAATTCCGAAACTTTTTTAGGATACATTTTGTTTCCAAGTCATTCTTGCTACCAGTCGTGTTGAGTGTAATATATTGTTCAGAGAGTACTAGACAGGAAAGAACACATGATGATACAATTATCTAGACTAGTATGCTCAGATATGTTCATCCAATTATGTTCTATTCAATAGCAAATCTGATTTTTACAATATCTAACCTACTTGCTTCTGACAGTTAGTTCAATTATTCGGGGTAATAGCACATGAAACTGGTTGCATAATGGAACCAGTTCATACAATCATCGTATATGATCATGCCCAGCTAGTTATCTCTCTACCTTTGTAATTTTACTACTTAGTAAAAAAAATGTTATTCATTGAATGTTATTTACTTCAATGCCTTACAAGTTGTTTCAATTAAGAAATGTTTTATCTCTTAGAATATTCAAAATCTTCCACGAAAATTTATATCCAACTCCCTGATATCACGTTTTTAATAGCCTCGACCAACAAGGTTTTGTTGAGTAACGTACAAAGTGGCAACACAATTCACATTGTAACATATTATCGAAAACAGTACTGAGTAAACTTTTTTGTGATTATTTATCTTGATGATTGGGGAAAGAAAATTATCTGTGTTGATAAGGTGAATCCAGGGGTGGGGACGAGAAGGTATGAGTTTGTTCAGTAACTAGCGATTGCAATAATTTTATTCTATTCTGATCATATTACAGATTTTGGATATGAAGTGTACATAAATGTTTCACTTATAAAATCTCAATTAATAATATCATATTTTCAATTAAAATTTTCACCATCGTCGGAAATCAATCACTCATGTAGTATTTCGTAACTAATAATGCATTCAACAGCAGAATACAAAGAAATTAAAGCAAATTTGTGATTGTATACAACTGACTGAACACTATTTATAGTCAGTTACTTTTAAAGTGACTAAACTTCTTATTAAATCACTTGGACTGTGATTGATCTACAGGACTGAGATGTTCCATTTAGCGTAAACATGTCTTAGCACATTCTAATGATCAGGTTTATTTTTTCGTATGAAATGAACCAATATTTCCACCTTATGTATATGTGATATAATCCCAAATTTATATTTTGTCCAATCAGTTTTGATTTGAGCATCTTGACTATTGTCTAGAGCCATGTAAGTACATGTAGCAAATAAAGTATTCTTCAACTTCTGCCATACTACATTAGTCCTAGTAGATCTTTATTTCATTTCCTTTTTCAGCAATGTTCGTGGCCAATTTCACTTAGTGGTGTTACTGATTTTTTACTCCCACTCGAATTGTATACATGTACTTACCATTTTGAAGAATTCTATACAGCCGCTCATCAAGGAAGAAAAATGAGATGGGCACATAGTTATTCAACAGTGGAACTCCAAGTGCTTTTCACTGATAAGACTTATCAAATACAAGCGCCTGCTATTAATGCTGCTATCCTACTATTTTTTGATCATATGGACTCAGATCGTATCAAAGTGAAAGATCTGCATTTCGGGTTACAACTAGCGGTATCTGAAGGTCGACCAACTATAAGTAGTGAAAATAACTCTACATCTAAACGAAGTGTTCCAACCACTGACTCTTCAATTACTAGTAAAATGGAAACTTGTTCACAAGATGTGTTGGATTCTTCATGTGAACTGGATCTTATTCAACGACTTTTGACACCACTAATTGAATTGAACATAATATATATTGAAGCAACTGAAGGGCAAAGTAGTAATTCATCGGGTAACATCGTGACAGTAAGTTATTGATAGCATAATACATCTAACCACTTATATATTTGCGTAGATGGATAGCGTTATAGCCCTAAACCGTTCGTTTACAAGCAAACGTCTAAAGCTAAGGGTGAATTTCGGCTCTCAAGGAAAAGAATCAAACCAGGTTAGTTACTTTTATAAATGTATATGCTTCCACCTAAATTTATATAATTATTAACCTGACTACAATTAAAATGGTGAAGTAAAAGATGGGTGGCCCAAACTCCTTGCATATTGATAAGAAAATTGTATTTTTATTAAACTAAGTTCTGTTACAAAATCCCTGGAACAATATTTTTATGATGACGAGTAAACCAAACGAAGATTAGCTTTTGATCATGTAACCGTAACAGGAAACAGATTAGTGGTTTGACTTGTGGGAATACTAGAATGTCCAAGCGGATACTTACAAATACTTTAGGATTTTATATATCCATTAATAGACAGCGCCATATTTGTGAAGTCTATTCGTAACAATTACATGCTAAGACTGGTATTCCCTTTACACACAAGGGCTATAAAAATAGTAGACGATAACTTAATTTTATCAACACCATTGAAATTACTACAATCTCCACAAAAACCCATCTGATATTAATCAGAAATATGCTCACTAGTGACTGGCTTCACGAGGTATATCCTGGAGTTCTAGTGAGAAGTAGTGACCAGTGGAGTTCAACCAGGTCTGTTGTGAGGTAGTAACTCACTGAAGACAATGATGAATGTGTCGCTCAATTTCGTGGATTAGTTGAAGTTAGACATTAACACCGTTGGATGCCGGCTCAGTGGTCTAGTGGTTAAGTGCTCGAGCGCGAAACCAGTAGCTCCTGGGTTCGGATCTCGCAGGGGGCGAAGTCGTGGATGCGCACTGCTGAGGAGTCCCACAGTAGGACGAAACGGCCGTCCAGTGCTTCCAGGTTTTCCATGGTGGTCTAGCTTCAACTGACTCATGATCTTAACCATTGAAACTTCCCATACTGTTTACATCACAAACTGGACCTAGGAAACCACTTGAAATTTGTTTCGTTCTAGCATGGGACTAGTAAGCAATGGCCATTCAGAACCCCGCTGAGAGTTGAACCCAGGATCTTCAGGTCTCGCGGCAGGAGCTTAAGTTTTTGATCATTGAGCTGGCATCCAACAGCTCACATGACTAACTTTAGTCAATTAAGACACTGGTTCTGATAATAGTGATGCACTTAGTTTCCTTTCTTTCATCTCCGTCAACCAGACGTTCAACTCATTTTATTATTTTGCTTCTCTGCAGTTTCGAGATAAGTAACAAATCAATCTAATGCATTGTTTTGGTAACCTTTACGTAGTTTGTTATGAGATACATTTAATTAAGTATATGTTTGTAATACTGATTAAATCAGAAAGTGTGAGGTTCACTGAGCCTCTTAAAGCCATTGTTTCCAAGCAAATCTAAATTTGTTTTACTGTTTACTTTGCAGTCGGAAGCTGATCAGGTTGATCGTCAAGTGAACGAGGATCGGCGCTACTTTATACAAGCTGCTATTGTGCGAATATTAAAAGCTCGAAGACAGATAAAGCATGCACAGCTTATTGAAACTATTTTACAGCAAGCATCTAACCGCTTCCAACCACCGATACCACTAATTAAGCGTTGCATTGAAGGTCTAATAGATACTGGCTATCTTGAACGAAATCCAGATGATCCTGATCAATACAGTTATCTTGCATAATTCCAAGTGCTTTATTTTTAATAAATTACAAATTTATTGGGATGCTGTAAATATCAATAAATAACACACTATAAGGGATTAAATTGCTCCTGTTTTGCCAAGTTGTTCTTTTAAAATCATAATGCTGCGTCGTTGATCCTCTGGTAAGAGAGCAAGTTGTTCATCTGATAGCTGAAGAACTTGCATAATAAGTGTGACTTTTTCTTGTTCACCTTGTCCTGCTAGTAAACTATTGGGACCCATACTTGCAGCTGCCGCTGCAGCAATTGCAGGGGTAATCTGTTAAAATTATTTTAAAAAATAAGTAGAATTAACTAGAATATGTAACATGCGATTTTATGCATTTGTATATAAATCAGTTAATAATTGCATTCTCAAGAGACTATTTAAAGTAGGTGTTTACGAGAAGTCTATCTTATTGGTACTATTTAAAGGTGAAGTAGTTTAATATTATAAAGGTCATTATACATGATGGAAAGTTTTTTTAGCTTTACTTATACGTAGTTCAAAAGTGTATATGTACATGTTTATCTGGAGAAACTTGTGCTTCTTACAATAAATTTAAATATACAGATAAAATACATTAATTAGTTGTTTAACGGAAAATCACACTGAGGGGCAATCAACCGAAGTAGGATATGTTTGCCACATCTCACATTAGCACAGTAAGAGAGGGAATTAACAGGATGGAAATCACTTACGCAGTTCAAAGAGGACATTATCAAAAGATGAGTGTGACGAATGATACTTAACTTAAAATTTAAAGGGAGATGGAAGAATGCATCTGTGTTGCTGACATCGAATTTTGACCGTACTATTCATATCTAACCAGAGTACGACTGTTGTGCTGCCTCCAACTAAGAAGTAATATATGAATCATAAAATATTGCATAGAAAGATACGATACAGGGGGGGGGGTTCGTAGAAAGGAAGACGTAAAGTAATTACAATTCAACGGTTTAAGGGAAGACGAAGAGTGTATACACCGACGGCATTGTGATCGAGCCATGTCACCCAGAGTCTTCAACTACTGGTTACGATAGTTGCGCAGACCCCAACCAAGTAGTATGCATCTGCCAACATAATTAAGACCAGAAATTAATGACTTTATGGACTGATACAACACGTTTCCAACACTGTCAGCATTGCGCGACGTAGTAATCGGTGGTTAGCTGTGCGTAATACGAGGCTCGAACATCTCAGTTGATGAAGATTCACCTCATCAGCTGATTGACCATCGTCCCCTAATACCCTGTTGTCTAACCTCACCGGTGATCCCAGTAGGTGCGAGCAATATTTCTAAGAAATCTGTGATCAAATACTAGTAACTTACGAGTATCCTCTACTCTCAATGACCATGTTTTACAGCCTTAAAGTAAAACAGAACGGACTGCTGCGCAGTACACTTTCCTTGAATTGATAGACGGATATCTCACCATCATAGGTCACATAATTTGGCAAAAGTTAGATTTCGTCAGACACCAACCCATTAGGGCTGATAAGACTTCCAAGATAAGTGAAGTTGTCGATGCGTTCGACTACGTGACTTCCTACCCTTAGTTTAAGTGTTGACGCAAGTCAGTCCTGAAGCAATAATTTTTATTTAGAGGGAGAGAAACGCAGGCTGTCTTGGAATGGTAGGTAGTTATAGAGCAGTTGAACTGCTCCTTCAAGTGTAGCGCCCATCATTCTAAACGTTTGAACGGAGAGCACATAAGAGTGTCGTCTTTTACTGATATTGTCTCACACTTGAGTTCTTAATCCCGGTTTCTTTTATTAGTCTCAAAAGCTGTCTTGTGTTACCTAAAGCCGCTGCCTTTTCAATCTCCCGCTTTTGTTGTCCACCACTGCTCGCGATCGTTTCGTAGTCTTTTGGTTGATTTAGATCTAATTTGTTTCCGCTCGTCATCGTGTTCGGAGCCTGACGGGATAAGTTCACGAGGGTATATCAGTGCAATAGACTTAGCAAAAATCCACTGGTTATTTGTGACCCTTTGGTTCATAACACTGATAGATGTCGCTGCTAGTTCCATAGATGTTCGTATGACTTTCCAAGCAACATCTGGGTCAGCCTCGTTTGCAAAATCGCCGAAGTTTCATTTTAGTTCCTGGAATTTACTTTTGGCTTTTTCGTCGCTAAGTTCAACTCTAATTTGTCTTTTTAATGTGGCTTTTCTGTGTCCAGTGAGGCGCAAGTAGATGCGTACTCCTATTAGAGCATGATCAGAGTCTAAATATGTATTCCAAAACGAGCGGCAGCCTTCTAACGATCCTTTCGAACGACGACTGATGGCAATATGGTCTATTCGGTACATCTTTGGTTTGGTGCAGCTCCCGCCATGTTAGATGTCTCTCCTTATGCTTAAAATTAGCGCTTAGAAATAAACGATTGCAACAAACAGTCACCATTATTTATTTGTTGAACTGGAATACTGAAATACCCACCTAAATGTCTTTATGTTTGGTTTAAACTACCTACTTGGGCATTAGAGTCACCTGCTACAAGTACTATGTCTGAGTGTTTAGCTTTATCAAAAAGTTCAGAAAGCTTTATGTAAAATTCATCTTTTACTTCATTCTGGCTGATGTCAGCGTAGGCAGAAATGACGAACTTGATGTAAAGTGATCTAAGATTACTGTCTACTCCGAAACACCTAACCTATTTGATGGTTTGTACATTGAAAAACTCTGACGTGTTATGCATCCTGAATCCCAGGATTTACAGTTTTTCCAACCTACTTCTGGGTTGAACATATACGGAGAGGTATTCAGTATTGGAAATTAAGTGAGGACGAACTAGAAATTCTCTACAATTGTTTACGTACATAGTGCATTATCGGTACTGGTCTGTAACATTTAGTTTAGAAATTCTTACTTGAGCAGCGGGTGGTCTTTGAGGTCGGACGGCCATATTTGGAGGTCCATTGGGATTGAAATGTGGTTGTTGTCCTGACACAGCTGATGACTGTGTTTGACCCGATGGATAGTCAAAAGGCGGCTGGGATGGTGGAGCAACAGAATTAGGAGGAAACCCATTAGGTGGCATATTATTTGGATAAAACTTCTGTTGCACTAAAAATGTATGGACCAGAAATAGGAAACATGTAATGATATCCATAGATTAATACCATATAAATTCATACTTGCAAAGAGCGTCAAATAACCAGTTAGTTCATGGCTTAGTAACAGAAAAGTTCTCAAAGAAAAAACTACTGCACTATAGCAAATAATCTATTCACAAAAGTTATCACACATTTAGTACATCTGGTGACATTTTAACGTTCCATCCATCCAAGCCTATTTTGTGCTAAACGATCGCATGATCTTATCTTAAAAATTAATAACTTGGTACCACATGGCCTTGATGTTGAGATTTTCTCACGGTTTGATAGACTGCTTTGGGTTTCGAATCTTACTTTTGAAATACACCTCGGTAAATTATCTTGTCAAATTTTACTGCATAGAGCAATAATGATAGAATATCAAGATAAAATCAGCAGTTTAACGCAGTGCTGACAACGTTTTGTGATGAAGATTTTTATGGTTGTTAATTGATTTCGACAATCTTGTGTATACTATTAGACGTATGTGGGCGGTCGACATTGATTCCCGGTAGGATATGAGAGCGTGGTCCTAGAGCCTAAGGGACAACGACTTGAGACCGATCTCAAAGTCTTTTTGTTTGTATTAGCTCCACCTCTTTCGAGTCTTGCCAACATAAATCGAAGGAGAGAGTTAGTGTTATTTTTAAGGCCGATGTCTTCTAACCCATCCAGTTATTTGTAGGCAGCATTTCTAAAGATGCTGGGTGCCCGTGGAAAACGCCTTGTTGACACATCTTGATACAACTGACAGTACGAATGAGTCATAAGACTTTGGATTTGTCGCTTTCAATCTGGATATTATTCAACCAACCTGATTGGTATGTTACGGCCTCAAAGAACGATCAATCAGCGAATATGGTACGATTGAGTCGTCACGAAAGATAATCTCAATACCACCTCAAGATAACAACAATGGTAGTCTACTGACTACAAACGTTTACACTAGTGGGGTGGAGGCTACTCACAAGATTACTTGTAACTACTGTGTGGAGGAATGTGGGCTCAAAAACCGTCAGACAGAGAAGTCTCGGCACACCAAAGCACGAAGTAGACCGAACACTTGAAGACTAGAGGAGAAAACAGTTAGGATAGCAGAATACACGGTGAGATGAGAATGGATGATGGAAGGCTATATATATGTATGATATAAATACTGCAATTTCTCACAGTAAACATTGGCTCCTTCTGCTCATTGCCTTGTTTTAGATTGGCTTCGGGGTTGGCAATTTTGATTAGCTTTTACGTAGTAAATGAATCCTACAACAACACAAAGACATGTGTCCAATAAATTGCACTTATTTCTGTTTTACTTACCCACAGTCAAACAGTTAGACATTGATGGCTTGTACGGAGATAAGTTGTACTAATTTTTATTAAGAACAGTAAGTGCATATTAGTTAAAAGTCTAAGTGACTATCAAAATTATCATCAATGTTGCACCTAATTTCAGGTCTACAGGACAAGCTGTGAACCACATGTGGAGAAATCCGAACACTTCACTTCTACTTGAAGTTTGTGCTGACGATATCGTCCAGAAGAACGACGAAATCTCCACGACAAAACTATCCAGCTCAGAGAACAAAACTCCATCAAAAACCTAATTTCAACGTTGAATTTTGAAAAACAGATTGGTGGTTTACCTGTGATGTGAACTTTTTAGATCCTAATGTTCACTGTGACTACTTATCGTAAAATCCACCTTTTTACGACAATGGTTAGTTGACAAATAAAAAATTTCCTGTTTCAACTAGATAGAGAGTAGTAACACAAATATTAGGGTAATCAGTTGCCGGCTGTACTCAACTACTGCATTCCCCATTGCCAAGGTTTATTTGAAGAACGACTAGTAGTGCAACATCGGAATGGAATCGATGTGCCTAGCAATTTGACGGGATTATATGCATGATCTTCATTTGGATTAAAATCATTCGTCACATTTCTTACAATCGAAGTTAGCAAAGATTTATGTCGGATGACGGTTACACAAAGATATGACATTATCCCTTGAGGTAGTTAGATATAAGTAACGTAGGACCTTGTACATATGTGAATCCGTCCAAGCTGATACACCACATCAGAAAAGGTGGAATTGCCAAGGTGAATACCATAGTAATATCAACGGAAGTAGAGGAGATTAGACATACAAGTGATTAGAGGGTGAATTCTCAGGATAAAAGGTAAAAAAAATGGTTCTAAAACTCAAAATCTAGACATACTTAAACAGTAAAAGGTTTTGCATCACTGAGACCGACTTTGATTAATGTCACCCAACGTCCCCAACTATTCCTCACGATAATCGAGCGGACACCCCAATTAGGCATTCCGCACTTACCAACATGGTTTAAGCCATGAAAACACCAGCTGTTAGTTTGAGACGTGTTCGGAGATACAGATCTCCTGGTCAGATTTCAAGTGACAATCAAAACTAATGGTTGAGGTTCTTAAGTGAAGATTTATAATAAATCGCAATGATAAAGATGTACTCGTCCTTTGTTTTCTCCTAGACTAAGCTTCAATATTATTTCATACTTTACATCCCTTTATTTATTTGGTTGTTCTAAAACCATATTCTTGATATTTAGTTTCTGTAACTATTATTAATATTACTGTCACTGTGATTTCTATTTTGTTAACTGCTTTTTTCTTTCCATCGGTAAAAAGTGTGGGGCCTTCAACCAATGTACATCTGCCCCAGGTCTTGCCTATAAATGACTGATAAGTGACCCATCTAATCTGATGTTACGATCCGAATCTAAAGAGCGGAATCGTTTTGAGTCTTTACTTCTCTCTCTTTACTTCAACAAACACTTACTTCCTTGAGGTGCTTGACTTCTTTGTGGAACTTGTTCAACACCGAAATGGCTTGGATGTGGGACGGGTCCAGGTCCACCGTGATGTGGAAAGCCGGAGGGTGGCAAGTGAGACCCAGGTGAAGACATGGGAATCATATGATTTCCTGGAGTGTTAGGACCCACAGAAGGTGGTGTCTGATTGATATGACCAGGAAAAGCCATAACTGGTGCTCTCATAGACATGTCTTCATCCGGCATAGCAGGGGGGATTTGATCATGACTGCGATTTAACATAGCGATGGCAACTTTGGGATCGACAATCTTCATAACGATTTGAGCCTATGAAAAAAAATGAAAGAAATAAGTAAAAGAACGTATTTTAATCCGATTATGTCGAAATGAAAATTGGACTCAGTAATCTGCACTTAGTCTAGTTCACTGTCTGTGATTTCACATTATTATTGTAAATTACAACTTTCTGCATTATTATTTTTTTGGAGAACTCCATAAAACAAATGACTTTAGAAAGAACGTCAACTTTCGAGATTCAATTAGCGTCCCGTTACTTTACATAATATAACGATGTGATATATCGACTGCGTTACATAGCGAGAATAATACCGTTTACCGGGTTTATTGATGGGAGCTAAGTGCAAACACCGGGAATGAGTTTATAACATGTTAACTACTGATACGAATCAACGACACATCAAAAAACCCAAGTGCTAACTATAATTGTTTTAGCTCGAAGAAATGCAGTTAGTTCCTTTTCGATTATCGCACCACTTTATAGCTTTGGTTAGATCTGTGGGAGATAAACGGACAATAGTTAGCTAACAGTTAGTGGGGCGATCTAACCACATCTTAATTGATAAATTTATAGGATATGATGTAATGGTACGTTGGTTCGAATTTTCACACGTTCAAAAAATCCATAGGGAATACCTATTCAAGTTAAAAGAATAAGTAAAAAGACAACAATCAATAGTTTAGACCAAATGGATATACCAGTTCCAATCTAATTGGTTTTCAATCATATTGCTTGTGGTTTTCACATTTCAACTGTCAATATCTTATAGACTCAACTAGAGCAGTTTGTAGTCGCACAGTGTTTAATTTAATTGTCAGGATTTATATATAGGCATATTGTCTTGGTCTGATTCTCGAAGATTCATCCATTCTGCATTGACTCTAATTAACAAAACATTTCGACATAACTAGTCCATTGAAGGTAATAAGCCCAGAGATGTTAGACGTCAGGAATGGACAAATGGTCAGATGTATGATAAAGATCGAAACTTACTGGTCATTAACGCCCAGGTAAAATAGAGGTAAGAAATTCTCAAGAATCCGACATTCTGTAAAATAGGATTGATAGCCTAGATTGCATAGCTTATGTACAATTAACAGTTGTTACAGAAAAATCAGTGAAACAACTACTCTACTTATTCGATGGTTTTGAAGTCCTGTATGGACAAATAGATAAGAGTGAAACAACAAACGTTACCTGTAGTAAAGCATATGCTAGTTGAGGATTTTGGAGTAACATATTGCGTGCTTCATTAGGATTGTTTTGTATACAAAGTTTCATCTGCTTCATTAGTTCATACATTTGTTCAGGTGGTAAGCTAGCAACTGCTCGACTAATAGCTTCTGGTGCAGCTTGTGGGTCAATATGATCTCCATATGGGCTTTCAAGTGGTGGACCAACTGATGGGTTACTTAGGGCCAGTTCAGCAGAATTTTGTTCTCCAGCAGCTGGTCCGATACGGAGCGGACGACCATTGAATTCAATATTTTGAAGATTCCGCAAAGCACTCGCAGCAATGGCTGGGTTATTGTATTCACAAAATCCATAGCCTTTGGGTTTCCCAGATTCTCTATCATATACCAAACGAAAACCGATTACAGGACCAGCCTATGAAATAATGAAGTAGGATGAGAATTATTACCTTGCTAAATAGTTCGATAAGCTTTTCCTCAGTCGCTTCATACGGTATGTTACCTACGAAGATAGATCGCGCGGTCTTTTCAGCAGCCTCCTTAGTTAACACGGGTGCCGCCATCAAAGCCAAGATTCTGGAAAGATTTTAATTGATATGCAGTACGATTTATTAACAAGAAAATGTCTATATAATAAGAACCTGGAAAAAGAATGACAGAAGTTACTTTAAAG